GCTGCAGGTGGCACGACAGGTTAAGTATGCCAATTTGTACAGGGCCTGGAGGAGAAAAGCCTCTCTAGAGAGTCTAGTGGCAACGAGAATCGGTTGCAGCTTCATGCGTCCACTGGGGAAGCTGATTTCGTTTCTCATTTCAAGGCATTTAAAATTGCAGCTCTCTGATGAGTCAGGTAATAAATTCCTCTTAGTTGGCTGCCTTATAAATTAAGATGTCTATCAAAAAGACAGCTTGAGATTTTGGGAAATTTTAAATTGTGTGACTCAGGGATTTGTCTTGCTCAATAAAATATTTGTATGTATATCCAAATAAAGGGTTTTTATATGGACTTTAATTTTCAACTTTGTTTTTCTTTACTTTCCGCTCTCAAGAAATTAATTACGCGTGGCAAAGACCTTTAAAATTGTTCCCTCCTTTTCTTTTCTTACATTTTTCGTTGTGACGCGTTGGCAATTTAAATTCCTTTTAGCACCCCAAGCAGGACTCATTAAATGTGGGCCAAGCAAAACATTGGCCATAACTTTCTATCGCCCCACACTTGGATTCACTCTGTCACCGGCAAAGTTTCCATGGAACGGAAAAAGATTCTGCATGCGAACAGGATGCGGGGGAAGACTGCTGCAATAAAATGCGGAAAAGCTCTTTGTCTGCTCGCTTCCTGTCCCGCTTTCCTCCCCCGCTTTTCCCTTGGGTGTTAGTGTATGTGTGACTGCGTTTTATAATCGAATTAATTAAAATTTTGCGCCCTACTTGACGCAAAAATTATCCCTTCCTTTCGCACTCGCATTAGCTTTCCACGCGCTTTAAATTTCCCCATTATACCAGTATAGCTAAAAAAATACCCATATAAAACATCCGTGCTGCATTCGTTTTTCCACCCGCCCTCCGGCGCCACGAGACTTGGTTCAGCGAAATTTCCAATTCAGTGAACTTTTTGTTTTGCCACGCCCCCCCAAAGGCCTCCTCTTCCTGCTCCTTTATTTTGAAACCATCAGTTATGCCGGGGAGAAACCTTTTGTTGGCGTTGGCCTGCATAAACATTATTTTTGGGGACACACAAAAGGCGTACCCCCCATCGATTCTGGGTTATCCAGCTGCCCATTTGATGGCCAGGCAATGTCCTGCGAGAAAGGACACACCACAATCGTCGTCACAGCTGTCAACAAACGAGCAGCCATCCAGCAAATTGACAGCTGAAGCCCGAAGAGTTGGCCAAATCCTTCAATTTTACCCAATGACGTCAGTTGGACAAAAGGATTTACAACTTTACAATTCACCGAGGAAAATGGCAAAAGGAATTTGGGGGGGAATTTTTAATTACGAAACTGTTGCGCCTGAAAGTTTTCACCCCGATTCCGAACCTTCTTTATTAGCGAAATTATTCATGGACACTCGGAGGGAGCTACGTTCATAAGCCGCTTAATGGATCGGCACACAAAAGGTCGCCACATCCGACAGATACGGATACGCATTTTGCCAGAAACTTTTCCACAACACAATGGTCTTTCATACATTTCTGTGTGTATTATTTACATAAAAGTTTCGATTCCCGATAAATACCGCCCCCCAACTCAAGCGTAAAATAAACGATAATTTATTTATGCGAAACCCGAGAAGCTGGGGGTGGAGAAAGGTTCTTGGAGCGGTGGTTATATTACCTGCACGCTACTCAGTTATTCACAAAGTTGGATGGCAGGACAAGACAAGCAAAGCCTTTGTGCCAAATTTCAATATCGAGAGTATCAGCCATAATCCCCAGAAAATCCAATCATAAATCACTTTCCTCGGCCACTTAAAAATATCACAGAAATTGTTTTTTGCGATGCGAATGCATAAAAAGCAAATAATTCCTAATAAAAATATCAATTTAATCAAGTTACGAGCACATAATTCAAGGTCAGATTTCGTGTGACAATTTTTTAATTCGATTTGTTTACCAGTTAACTGCCACTTAAGGAGATAATGGCAAATGCTTTTGCGTCTCCCATGAGTAAAGCAAAAGAAATAAAAGCACAAAGAAGCCAAATTCGTTGTGAAATATTTGGTTGTTTATCGTTTAAAAAATTATTAAAATGTCATAAATTTCATAATCATAAAAGAAACATTATTTTTAAATAAGCATTTAAGGGATACATTTAGACATTTCTTAACCAAAAATTGAAATTTGCAACCTTAATTAATGGAACAGAATCATTAAGAGAATTTTTAATCAAAATTAAAACAAGGTAAACAGTGCGTATACGTGATAACCTTTAAGATTTGGTTTTTTATAACTTTTCTGCTTGAAAGACAAATATCAAATTCTTGATTTAATGGAAACCCGTATCTGTAAGAATGGTTCACCCAATTAGCACTTGACAGTTAACCCACCATTTCGCTGGTCTAGTCTGTTTTCCTTTTACTTCCGGTTTAGCACTTTTTCTGTCCTTGTTTTGGCCAACAATTGATTGTTGTTTGTTCTTATTTTATGGCCCAATTTGGCGGACACTGGCGACAAAGTCTATGGCGTAGTTTTTGGCACGATTCGGCTGTTAATCAGAAGCCGGCGTAAACAGCGCCGGACGGAGCGATGACAGCCGTAAAAGCGGCATAAACACGACCGTTAAACCGGACAATTCGATGATCGGAGCGCCGCAGTTCGCGTGGCCATCAATCAGGCAAAGAAGTCAAAGAAGTAACGACCGCAAGAGGTAAATGGTAAATGGCAAATAGCAAATTGAGCAGTTGGGCTGGCGAACAAAAAGGGACGACGATGGGCAACTGACGGTGGCCAAAAAGTGACTGAGACAACCGAAAGGACGAAAGTAAACTCTCGCAGCCACAGACACAAATACAATCTCGACGACGACAGGATGACCTTCACCAACACGCACAGCGAAGGAAACCCAAATATACGAGTGTATGTAGGTGTGTGCGGATATATATATACACGGATGGCCAAAAAGTAAAGTTTTTCGCACAGCAACCCACACACTCACACAGCTATGACGCAGCGGAAGGAAAAGCTTTCGCTGGAGAAAAGGACCTGTGCTGGGAAAAGGGAAAAGCAGAGGGAGCGCTCTGATTTCGTTCCCTTCGAGTTTCAAGTGCAAACTCGACATTATCTGGCTAAAAGCTGAGGCTCCTGCAGGTAGGCTGCAATACCCTTCCATTGGGGTTGTTTATAAAAAAGGAAACATGCTTAGTATAAACATAATAACGAATTTAATATTTCATTTAAAGTAACTATAAAATTAATTTAAATTTATGGTATTTGGGTTTGTTATGATGCGGGACCTACAGTTTTACTAAAATAAAAGCTTAAGTTTTACGAATTATATTTATGAAAAAACAAAACTTGCTTAAAAATCATCCAAAATAAGGGGTAAAAACTACCTCACCTATATAAATAATCAAACTCAAAATCTGAATGCCCAACCACCCACTTAAAACTGTTTGATATTAAATTGGTTTTTTTAAACTATGTACATCTAATTCGCACACTTCAACAAAGATTTTATATCTTTGAAGGTTTTTTATAGTTAATACAAATAAATATTTTTTCCAAAGATTTTGAAAGGGTATTCAGCATTTCTTAAGTGCTACATTTGTTTGTCAGTTTGTTTTCGTTTGTGCCACTACTAACGACGTCGTCATTTGCAGTAACAAACCGAATCAGCAAGACACTTGGTCGCGAAACCGAAATCAAAGCTTTTCCCGTGCGCACACTCCCACACTTTGGACATTTTCCGCTAAAAGCTTTTCCGCGCGAATTTCGCAAGTGTTTTTGTTACCCGTTTCCCGTTTTCCGTTTCCCGCTATTTGCAATTTTCCAACTTACTTCACGCTCGCGGGCGAGCGTCGAGAGATGAACCTGCAGGCTGCGATCGCTGACGGCGTCCTCCTCGGGAATTGTGGTGCAGGAGGTGCGGACGTGGCGCATCCGATGCACTGCGTCCAGACTCAAACGGTGCTCGTGATCGTCGCGCAGCAGGGCATCGAACATGGCCACTCCGCCATCGATGCTGCTGTCGCGCAGGATTCGCCCACCACGCCCGCTGCAGTGGGCACTCTGCTGCTGATTCTGCTGATGATGGTGGGCGGTGGTCACCACGCCCTCCGAAAACGAACGGATTCGCATGGCGCCGCTGGCATCGGTGGTCAGAGCCACCGAGCGGAAGCGATCGATGACCGCATCCTGGATGCTGTTCACACTCAACTGGTTGCCCATTGCGCGACGTGGGAAAAACAAAAACAGAGAGGACCTAACGACTGTGCACCGCAGGATGCTTCTGCACGGCGCCAGGATGCTAATCCAACTGACAACGAGTGCGGCATTCAACAGGCAACCTGCCCCAGAGAGGCGCTCACACTCGAAGCCAGAGCCCGGAGAGAAATGGGCCGGAGAATGTGCCTTTCACGGGGGGAGGGAGTGAAGGGGGTCGGGCGGGAAGGCCTCCACAGGTGCGCTGTTCTATTTACATTGCAGCACGGCAAGCTTTCGCTGCAACCTGCAGCCTGCCACCCCGAAAATAAACTTTAAAGCTCTCTGGCCACTGCATCTTCCCAAAAAAAGAAGGATGCAGTCCTCTCAACAAGAGAGCGCCAACAAAACAAGCATGTGTTTTGAAAATCCACCTTTAGACTGGCTTAATTTAACACTCCGCCTCAAAAATAGACCACAGGTTGTATTGATTTTCGTTTAAGCGACCATTAGATGACCAGCCAAATGCCGCTTGTTGCTTGCAAAGGGTTGAAAGCCCCGCCAGCAAACTCAATCACATGAAAAATTAAAGAAATCAATTTTTCCTATATCCTTGGATAATGAACGAATCCCTTTAAATATGTTCACATGGTTAAAAATACCTCTAATTATTTAAAGTAGTTTTCTTTTTTAAAACAACCAGCCAACTTGGCTTCAAAGGAGCCATTCTAGACTGGTAAAAAAAATGATCGTAGCAACGAGAAAGCCATTAATCAAATCCACATAGCCAAAGTCTGCCCAACATAGAATCAGTTTGTACTAAAGCCCCGAAGCAAAAACACCTCATTTTATAAACGACAAAAAATTTTATATTTAAATTGTGTAGAGTCTTTTTTGATACTCCTTTTTTTTTACTTTTTATCTACAAATTCTTTTGTGAAAAGTTCGAGTTTCGATAATAATTTTGCAAGTGAAATAGTTAATAAAGTTGACAACATGAACAACGTGATTAAGAAAAGTGAGACGGAACAAAGAGCGCGTCCTGCAAAATCGGGATATGTATACGACCTCAATAAGATGGCCGATCTTCAAAACGCATGGGATGCCAATTCACTGTGTTCGCCCTTCGTCAATTTCCTCAGGAAATTTCAGGAGCGCTATAGCAGTTGCTACACCGATGGGCAAATCGCGGAAATGGCTCGCAAACGCTGGCAACAGATGTCTACTAGCCATCAGCAAGAGTACCAGGTTAGTTCATACATAATAAATTTTTACTAGCGAGCCTAGCAAGTTTTATAATAAATTTGATTCTCAGGACCCACTAGATGAGGTAGAGTATCAAGAGTATCTAAAATCGGCTAGCAGTAGCGCCAAAGGCTCAAGTTGCTCAATTAAAAACGAACCGGATTCCGATGATGCGGATTCTGAATCCGATTATCATACAGGCGCATTTGTCGATAGCGGCGACGGCTGTCGTCCTAAGAAGAAGGATCCCAAGTGCAGGAAGCCGAAGAAAATGTGCGCAAGGCCAAAGAAAGCTTGCGCGAAACCAAAGAAAAGTTGCGCCAAGCCGAAGCCCGTGTGCCCCAAACCTAAGATGGTTTGCCCCAAGCCTAAATTGGCTTTCCCCAGGCCGTCTTGCCCAAAACCTAAATCGCTTGGGGCGAAGCCATCTTGCCCCAAGCCAAGCGCCAAGCCATCTTGCCCCGCGCCCAAGAAACGAAATGAGTGTCCGAAGCCCAAACCAAAGTGTCCCAAGCCGAAGCCATCGTGCCACTAAGAAAATGTGCGTCTTACAATAACCCCTCTTCCGTCCACACCTTTTGGCAATAATTTTGGACTCGTAATTAGACGAAAATGCCCTCGTAATGCTTGTGCGCATTGCTAGAATCAAAGAAATTGGAGAACCTCCGGGGAACCTGGCCATCGAACATCCGGCGATGAAAGCCTTCTACTAACCGCGCGGTGAAGCTTCCAAAGAGCCGAGGTACTTGGCCTTAGGACCAGGAAGGTGCAAATTCTATTCTACTACGAAACAAGCTAATCAGTGAAATAAAGGTACACGTCTAGATCAAAAATAGCATTTTTTTATGGAAATCAAGGATTAAAATTCGGTTTGAATTTTTGATTAATTGTACGTTTTGGTGTTTTCGAAACCATATGCTAGAGGTACTCACCCGTTCGAGTTTCTGAAAGTATTGGCGCAGGAACTGCACAGGATTCTCGGGTCGGCAGACGCACAGCTGGACGATGCAGTCCTTGAGGACTCGCTGGATTCCGTGGGTCTGGATGTAGTGCTCGCACTCCCGCAGGCTCTGCTCCTCCAGCGTCTTGGCCATCATGTAGGACATGTGTGGGGCGGTTCTCGGAGTGGGTTTACGATGGAAATGCGAAGAGATTGGTGATGAAGACAGCTTTTCAAGCGCCGCACTACCCAATACGTATGTCTGTATGTATGTACACAATTTGTTTTCGGGAGTGCGTGTGTGGGTGGCAATTACTTGTTTCGCTGGCAAATCGGTTGAAACCACAGATTATTTGGCTATATCTTCGATGCTCGCGTTTCTCTGCACCTGCTGCTTTATCGCGCGTTTGCCTTTGCACCGCTTTCGCTGCTTTTCCTTGCGTTTTTCTTTTTTTTTTTTTGGCACCGTTTTGCTTCGTTTTCCACAGCACTGCCCCGTTTTCACTTTCGCAAAATTCACGTTTCCTGACCTTTTTGTCCTGTCCTGCTGATTAAAGCCCTTTGCCCCGCAATCCCCCGCAGCATGTGGAAAGGTCGATAGCTCTTAAAAACCCAACCAAGTAGGTTTTTTTCATAAAAACTTAACTAATTTTCACGCACGTAAAACACAGACGTTGTTGTTGTTGTTTCTTTTTGGCTGCATGTAGTGGTGGGCGTCTCGGTGGTCACGCACTTATCGATAACTTTACGGGTGAGCAGTCGCGTTTGTCAACACTGTCTTCGATAACAGCGGCCACTGTGAATGTCCAACGGAATAATTTAAATCGCGAAAGAGCTTTTTTGAAGGGTGTTTTTTAAATTAATGTTTCACTTAATCCAATAAAGATCAAAAGCAGTAGCTATGTGGATGTTAGATGTTAAAGCGTACTTGAGCCAATCAACGGAGGTAAAGAAACCTGTTTCCCGCTATTTCAGCACAAATTTTTTTGGATCCAGTTGTAAAGTATTGATTTTTCCGAATTTTCCTCCAGCTAAAATGCTGCACACCGAAACCTTGCCTGGTCACCAGGGCATCTATGCTCCATTAAGTCAGGCAATGAGCGATTCCGAATCCGACGAGGAGATCGAGATCCACAACGCTGTTAATCATCGCCAGAATTTGCAGCAGAAACTGCAACAAGCACAGAGAAATTCGCCGGAGCAGTTCCACTCACAAAGGATTCGCATTCCGCCAAACACATTGGCCCTGAAATCACCGCACACCCGAGCCCCACCAACCGCCACTAGGATTGTAACCCGGAATCCAGCCGGGCATCCACACGCCCAGAAATTCCAGTTGGAGGGCAGCAGCTACGCCACCAATATGCAAAACACCTTCCGTTCGGTCATGTTGAGTGACAACGGAGGCGTGGGCTCAGAGTTGTCCCACTTCAACAGTGAATTCGATTCCAATGCAGATAATGTGGCCATCTTGGGTGGCAATCAGTCGGGCGAAGACTCGGCCAAAAGGACACCCATGTCGCCGGCCCGAAAGTGCTGTTTCATCGGCAGCCTGTTGCTCTGCTTCGTGGCCGTCGTTTCCTTTGTGTGGCTAGTGCCCTGCGGCAACCCAGATGGCACTGGATCATGTCCAGCGGTGGTTGATCGCCTCAAAACCCACAACTGGTTCAATAACTACACAAGGGCCGAGCTGAAAGGGGAGTCAATGTGGTTGGCGGCTTAAAAGCCTGGGAGAACAACCTTATCTTCATGTACCGCGGCGATGGATTCTTTCCAGAATTTCGACTCGGCAACGAGCGGCGGAACGGCATCATCTGCTTGATTGGCTCCTCCGGAGCTGTAGCCTGGTTTGTGGAGATGGTGGACGAACCGGTGGCCCTTGATTGCACCCTCATCGACATCGATGGCAATGGGAAGGCGGACTGCCTAATACTCGATGAATACGGTGAGCTGGGCGCCATCAATCCTGTTTCCGGACGTTGGCTTTGGTGGTTCAAGGAGCGTTCGGCCCGCAAGGTTGATGCCTACGATTTTCCGGTCATCCTGCCCGATCTGGATGCGGATGGAGTACTGGACTTGCTGCTCGTGACCAGTTTATCGCTGGAACAGCGAACCAAATCGCTGGCACAGCTAAAACATGAATCTCCCAGTCAGTTAGAAGCTCGGAATGTGCTTCGTTTGCTTTCGGAGAAAAATGGATCGCCAATAGGCGATGGCTTTCGCATCCACGACTGCGACAGGCTGAGTAATGTCAAGCTGGAGGCGGGCAATGTGAGCTTCTCCTGCCAGCGCGTCAACGGCACCGAGCAGCTGCGTTCCAAGAGTCTGGCGGAGCTGTATGCCCTGATCACCAACAAGTCCATAGTGGGGCAAAGGTTGTCTACCTCGAAGATCTCGCAGCACAGGAACCATGGTCAGCGACGGGAATTGGATGCCCAAAGGAACATCTACTCCTTGAGTGGACGCGAGCTGGTGGTGGAGAATCGTGGTCGCTGCCCGGAGGATTGCAATGTCACCTTTGTGCTGAGCGAAGTTCGCGACGGCAAGCCGCACATGGTGCACAATTTCAGCGAGAGCGGCATGTATGGCATGGTGCCCGCCCAGTGGCATTTCAAGAACACCAAGTCACCGATGTCCGGCTTTGTGATGAAATTCTGGAAGTGGCATGGTCTCGTGAAGCCATCGAAACAGAGCTCCGCCAGCAGCAATAGCAATAATGTGCAGAAAAGTGCCAGCAACAATCACACCAAGAACATGAATGCCATCAAGGATAAGGAGAAGGAGAAGGCGCAGGCCAAGAAACAACAACAACAGCAACAGCAGCAACAACAACGTCTGAGGAGGAGCACGAAGGCCGGCGACCATCAGTTTCCGCCTGCCCACCAGGAATTTGATGTGTTTGGGCACGTAAAGCAAAAGCGGGAAACCTTTGGGGTGCCCTCCAAAAACATGACCAGATCCAGTGGCGTCTCGCCCGGCGGCAGCTACAAAATGAATATGATCACGGAAACCGTGATCCTTGTTTTGTTCGTAGGCACCGACACCCACATCGAGAACACCTCGCAAAGCAACATCATCCAATTCTGCCGACACGACCGCAAGGTGTGCCAGCCCGATCTGAACAACCAGGATCACTCGATGCTCATTGCTGATCTGGACCAGGACGGATCCCAGGAGCTGGTCACATACATGTCCACATTCGTACAGCCCGAGGATGAGCAGCAGAGGGATTGGAAACTGCTAACCTACGTGAGGTTGCTGCGCCTCCAGGCAGAACTCCCCGCCTTTTTTGAGGAGGACAGGCACAACTAGGCGGTAATCCCGATTCCGAGACGGAATATAGTGCATTTAGCCAGCCGGAAACGTGCTGTCGGACACGAGTAGCAGTTTAACCTAGTTGCATGCATTACATTGTACATTAGTAGAACCTTTTCTAGTCTCCCATAATAAATCAGTAAACTTTCCATTAACTTATTCTGCTTCGATTTTTTCAAATTCGAAGACCGCGTAGAACCGGAAGACTTTTTTTGTTTTCATTCTTTATTTTCAACAGTTTTGCCCATATTACATTTTATAGTTCTCATATTCACAAATTGGATGAACAATTAAAAAAGGGGAGTTTCTAAAAAGAAATAGTGTAATATACAATTCAAATGGTTTTGGATTTTGTTTGGGAATTTATTCAGGATTCAAAACCTTTTTCAACAGTCATACCTTTTTCTTTGATGGGACAGTATTTCACGTTTAAGACTAACAAAACGTGTGTTTTCCGAATTAAAGTATAACAGAATCTACAGATACTGCTGGCCTAAATTTTCATACAATTTGCACTGCGTCACTACTTTACAATAGGATACAAAATATTACACATGTGGTTTTTGGGTGAAAGTATAAAGTCTTAGTTCGATAGTCTAAAAGTCCAGAACGAAATTCCTAAAAGGACTCAACTTAGTGTATGATATTAAATTGTACGAGTTTGTGTATGCGAATTTATCTACCAATGCGTTATGGTATATAATAATTCTTAGTCTATGTCCTAGAAGTCAACGTCGCTGAGATAACGCTTGAAATTAGACAAGCAACTCGCAGTCAACCATTGCTCGGCTATAACATTTAGTTCCTCGTCCAGACCCGGAAATTTTTCCGCATTTTTCGCTGAGTGGTTGAGACTTTTCAGCGTGCGATACATCTGCAGAAAAAGGTTTATTAAATTACGATTAAAAACGAATATAATTTATAATTTACCTCCGCGGAGCTAGTAGATATTTGTTTGGCTACTGCCAAAGCCTCATCGCAAACATTGCGGGCCTTGCAGATCTTGTCAACGAAGCTTTGTGGCCCCAAAAGTTCGGGGGCAAAAAGTCTTTCAGCCAACAGAAATAGGCGTGAATGCTTTATGAAAGAGTAATAATTAATGAAGGAAACTACGTGACATTAAACTTTAAATATTTACCACTTGACTGGGGACCTTTTCATGGCCATGCCACAGAGCGTAACCCTCGGGCAGCTGGCCCAACTTGGCATAGTTGGTCTCAAAGCAACAATCATCTGCGGCCACCACGTAATCAACCAAAGGCAGCTGCATCACGCCCAGATTAATCAGGTTGCCAACGATGCCAGCCACCACGGGCTTTGGAAATGTGGCCAAAGTGCGCAGATATGTTCTGGAATTGGCAAAGGGAATTAACTTAAGTTTGGCCTTATTTTAGCATAGTTTTCTTCACGCACTTCAGGGCCAGAGCAAGCTGATTGGCACTACTCCTGCGCTTCTCGAATGATCCATGCACCAGTTCCTGGCAATCAATGCCCTGGCAGAACTGCTGACCCTCAACGGTGAGCAGCACTGTGTTGAACTCGCTTTTGCGGGCCACACTGGCCAGCGTGTCGCTCAACTGATCCAGTAGCTGGCTGCTGTATGTGTAACCGGATTTGCCGTGATGCGTGCGTATCACCAGGTGAGCCACCTTGCCAACCTTGTGCACAACCACAAGTTCGCCCCTGCTGTTGGCCTTCATGTCGTTGGCAAGTGTGTGCGATGACACCCCATCCGTCGGCTCGCCGCCCCTTTGGTTTGTCTTGTTTACGGGCTTCAGGAACTTGAAGGATGGATCAGAGCCTTCGGCTGCATCATCAGAAAGGTTGGATGCTCCCGGCTTGTTGTCCAGCGAATTGCGGCTAACGGAGGCGTTGCTGGAATAGGAGCTGTTGGAGCGCCGTCTCATAATCATGGACTCCTCGCTGGCGCGCTGTTTGTACACATAGTCCCAGGAATCAGATGCGCGTGGCTTGCTGGTGGTTGTGGAGGCGGTGGTCTTAGTAAAAACGGAATCTGCACCCGAAGTCGATCGCTTGGTGGCCGGAGACGCTGACTCCTTTTTGGGAGGCGTAGGCTCCACTGCGGCACGGATTGTTTGATTCTGGAGAAGCGTATAATAAATACTATTTAGTAAATATTTATGTGAAGTAATTCTTTTAGCAATTACTCACCCTTCCTGTTATGGTCATGGACCGTTTGCGCATTAGCGGCTTGTTGGACACCTCTCCGCCGCTCATCTCGCGCTGCTCATGCTCCACCGCGTGGATCATGTTGGCCGCACCTTCGTCGCCCATCAGGCGATCGATCTCAGAGACCTTCTTTTTTTCTGTACTCCACCGTTGGCCAGACCTGCGTTGGGTGTTTGCGAGCGTCGTTTGACTGGAGACAAGCTCCTCTCTGCTCCTCCAACCGGAGCTGCAGCTTTGCTGGTCTTAGCAGTCGGCGTTGCAGCCCGTTTCTTAGGAGACACCTCCTTCTTGATCGTTGTACTGGGGGAAATGCTCTTGACTGTCGGTTTTGGCGCGGGAGGTGCTGGGGAGGTTGCTTTGGCCGTTGCCTTTGCGGTGGCATACTGCGCAAAGGACTTTTTCGTCTCCGGCACATCCGGATCCCAAATGATCTTCCTCTTGATAACACGCATACGCTTAAAACCTAGAAAACCCGAGTTTTTGTTTAGCATGATAATTTTTTAGCTGTATTATATAGTTTTACTGCACCTGTGGTTGGCTCTTCGGTCTCCTTGGGAGATGGCACAGCAACGACCGAGCTCGTTGATGCCGCCAATTGCTTTTGGCTTACGGTCTTTAGCATTACTTTAACACTGCTGATCTTGTTGTTGAGCAAAACCGGAGAAGTCTGGCTGGCTTTGTTGGGCGATGGCACCTTTTTCGGAGGCAGAGGCGGCTTTTTATTCCCCAATTTGACTGGGGGAAGGGTTATCACTTCGGTAATCAAAGCTGTCGCGGGAGCAGTGGATGCGGACTTCTCGTCCTCTTCTGAATCGTAGTCATCCCAATCGTCGTTCAGCGAGCTGACGATATCCACTGGCTTGACCACTGGCGGAGGATCTTTGCGACGCGACTTGGGCTTCAGGCCGGCCATCTGTTCAAGAGCCACAGCTCTGGCTTGCTCTGGCGATAGCTTATGCTTCGGAATGGTAGCGGAGGAAGTGGTGGTTGCAGTTGGCTTTTTTGGCTTAGAGACGGTCACCTTAGGACTCGCCTTGCGAGAGGCTGAGTCGCCCTCGTCGTCGTCGATCTCCATTATCTCGAACTGACCCTCTCCCTCAATGGTAACACCGATGTCCACATTACCCTCCACGCCGTCCAACTCGGAGAGAGCCTTCTCCAGGGCGCACTTGTCGTCGCCCGAAGGTTGCTCATGACTGGTATCCGTGCCCTTGAGCAGGGCAATCAAGTCCACCTCCTCCAAGGGGGATTCGCTGGGAATCGTGCCATTGCCAGAGGCATCCTGGGTTTCCTCTTGGAGTGGCGAAGCACTGGACAAATCATCAGCGGCCACGCGGGACTCCAAGCCACTGTTATCCGCACCGCCACTTGGAGGGACGGAATCTACAACCTCAGCGGACGCATCGGGCGGTCGAATGTTGTGCAGCTTAGCGATCTCCTGTTCCAACGAGCTCAGTTCGTCCAGACCGGCGCCCTCGTCCGAGCCATTTATATCGGCCAGCTCATCCTCCAAATCAGTGGGACCCGCACATTTTGCAAGCGTTTCCAGCGCCGCTGTTTTTGGTTCTAGTTCCTTGGTTTTGTCAACCTCCCGACAGGATTCCTTCGTTTCGACGGGTTCCGGCGTTTGCACTTGATTGTCCGTCACCTGATCCATGATTCCACTGCCCTCTGATGGCTTTCCAATCGACAGGGGATTCAATTTTGCTTTACGTTATGTTTCGATTGGAACAATCTACAAAAAAAAGTGCACTTGCTGCAAAGCGGCCATTTTTTAGTGGTGTACAGGTTAGCACAAGTATATCGATAGTTAACTATCGGTAAAAAATTTATTTTAAAATTTTAAATTTATAACAAATGTTTTTTACGAAAAGTAATATTAAAAAAAAAAGCATATAAGCATATAAACATCATTGGCATATTTCATCAGTTACAAAGCGGCCTATAATTACCAATAAATTCTAATACTTGACTGTAGCGCAATAAACATGTTTTATCATATTCAATATATAGCTAAGTCAAACTTTGGAGTTAAAGGTAGACAAATAAATAAAACCTATGTAAATATGTAATGCTTTTGTATAAGCAACTAAAAAAATTTAATTTTTAACTCTTCAAATGTAATCCTACGGAGTCGAGTTCAAAACTCAAAGTGTCTTAATAATCTTAACGCAAATGTGCAAGGCTGCATTATATTGCAAAAAATTTTAAAATAAAAAACTTTTTACATTAACGTTCATATTCTGAAAAGATAAGGTCTTATTTTGTTAAACGAAAGTCAATGTTTTTATTTTTTTGGATGACTAAAAGTAAAACCAGCCAGGGTGACCATGCAACACAACGGTATTTCTTAGATGACGTAAAACGGCCACGCTGCGCTGTTAGTTGCTCGCGTCGCCTGGTCACATCGGGTCGAAAACACAACCCCCCGCTCACCCCCCTTTCGAATACTTGATAGAAAAAAGTCTCATCTGCAGCAAGGATTCGCGCAAGGATAGCGCCAGGAAAGGCAACCGTTAATTGATCTAACCCCTCGGCGGCGGTCAGTGCAAGTGCACAGATAACCCGCACACCCGTGGGCACTCCGGCGAATCCCGGCGAGCGGCAAAATCCGGATTGAGCGTTGGCCAAAAGCGAAACGAGCGTCGAATACAGAACTTCGCAGTCGGGGGCAGCAGCAGCAGCGGCAGGATGTGGGACTCCTCCATGTTTCTAAGCACGCTGACGCCCAAGTTCTACGTGGCGCTCACCGGGACCTCCAGCCTGATCTCGGGCTTGATCCTGATCTTCGAGTGGTGGTATTTCCGGAAGTATGGAACTTCGTTTATAGGTGAGTGGATCCGTAGTTCTTCTCCATGGATTTTTAGTTAACTTAACACTTCCCATCCGGCAGAGCAAGTTTCCATCAACCACATTAGCCCCTGGATCAATGGCAGCGATGGCCAGTCGGAGTCGAGCAATGGCAGCGGTTCGAGCAGCAGCAGTGGTTCCAGTAGCAGTAGCAACGGCGGCTCGGGCGGAGGAGGAGCGGGAGGGGGTGCCTCATGCGGTAGTGCTACCACCAGCACGGGCACCCAAATGCCCGAGTGCAAGGTGTGGCGCAATCCCCTCAACCTCTTTCGCGGCGCCGAGTACCAGAGGTTCTTTTGGGCCACCAGCAAGGAGCCGTTAACGTACTACGACATGAATCTGAGTGCCCAGGACCATCAGACCTTCTTCACCTGCGAGGGCGATGCCCGCAAGGAGGAGTACGAGATCATGCAGACGGCCTGGCGCGAACGCAATCCCATGCAGCGCATCAAATCCGCGCACAGTGCGCTGGAGATCAACGCGGAATGCGCTCCCGCCTACATACTGCTGGCCGAGGAGGAGGCCATGACCATTATGGAGGCGGAAAAGATTCTGAAGACCGCGCTCAAGGTGGCCGAGATCAACTACCGAAAGTCGCAGGCCACCCAGCATCAGGGCGCCATTGCGGACGGTATGCATCGGCGGGACACCAACGTGCTGATCTACATCAAACGGCGGCTGGCCATGTGCGCGCGCAAGCTGGGTAAGCTGAAGGAAGCGGGCAAGATGTTCCGCGACCTCACCAAGGAGATACCCTCGATCATGAGTGTGCTGAACATCCACGAGAATCTGATCGAGACGCTGCTGGAGATGCAGACCTACGCCGATTGCCATGCCATTCTGGCCAAGTACGACGACATCTCCCTGCCCAAGTCGGCGACCATCTGTTATACGGCTGCTCTGCTGAAGGCGCGCGCCGTGGCCGACAAGTTCTCGCCGGATATTGCCTCGAAGCGAGGTCTCAGCCCCGCCGAGATGAGCGCCGTGGAGGCCATTCACCGGGCGGTGGAGTTCAATCCGCACGTGCCCAAGTATCTGCTGGAGACAAAGCGGCTCATCCTGCCGCCGGAGCACATTCTGAAGCGCGGCGACTCGGAGGCACTGGCCTATGCGTTCTTCCATCTGAAGCACTGGAAGCAGGTGGAGGGGGCCCTCAATCTGCTGCACTGCACCTGGGAGGGCACGTTTCGAATGCTGCCGTATCCGCTGGAGCGCGGCCATCTCTTCTATCCATATCCAACGTGCACCGAATGCGCCGATCGTGAGCTACTGCCGGCGTTCCACGAGGTGTCCGTTTATCCGAAGAAGGAGCTGCCCTTCTTCATTCTGTTCACGGCGGGACTGTGCTCCATTACCGCCCTGCTGGCCTTGGCCACCCACCAGTATCCGGAGCCGATGGGCCATTTGGCACAGACCGTACTTACTTGGGTCTCGTATCCGTTTCAGTTGCTCAAAGAGCGCATCGAGGCGTTCTGGCCGTGCAATTTGCTGCAGCAGTTGTCGCGCGTCTAAAGCGGGGGTCACATGCTCCTCCGATTTCCACCCTCGAATGACGTCACACACACAAACACTCACACAAAACAAAACAAGGAACACCACACATACTCACTCACACGCATCCATCTCCAACTGGCTGAGAAACCAGCGGCAGCGAAAGCCACAAAAACCACTCAAACACAAACCCTAAAAAATACATTACATGAATATATATATATATGAATATATATATAAAAACTTATATATATTTTGGATCTTAATATGTCTGTGTTGTCTTCGTGAAATAAACATAAACAAAGCAAAAGCAAAAGCAAACAAACACGCACTCAACTAGTTCCAGCTTCCAAGTGATCCAGATGAACGAAACGAATTTTCAGCAGCCACGCAAGAGGAAACTAAATTATTCTTAAGTTTTATTATTATTTTAATTATTGTAAACAAGTACGAGAAGCGAGTAAACTTAAATTCAGAAATTATCCTTCATTTTATTTATTGAGAGCCTTTTTCTTTAGTAAATAATTGGACCTGGTTGTTTATTCGTCTGAGTAAATCATAATTTTTCAAAAAGGAAACCATTTCCGATCTATTACATAAAAAATCATCTTTTAGAGTCGGGAAACCCCCTTTCTGGTTTTACAGTTTCGAGTGGCCCTTTTTCCTTAATCTAATTGTTTTATCGGCATTGATAAAGAGCATTCACATGACAGACGTTTGTAAACTAGTTACTTCGTTTCAAATTCAACTATATTACTTTTCACTATAGGCATCTTATGCCCTCCAACCATGGTTATAAATTGTTCTCTGCACTTGCAGTAAAATTTGAAATCTTTATTAGTTCCATAAGTAAATTATAAAAGATAAATAAATGTCAATTCGCGCTCATTTTAAAATGTATATCACATTGATTTCCAATTGTAAGTTTGTGCTCATATTTTTCTTCAATTCTATTAGATATGTATAAAAGTGTTTAAAAAGGATATAAAATGTTGTGCATTTTCATTGTGCACTCTTTGTAAGTTATTACTTTGGTTATAAGGCACCAATCATTAGCAGCATCTTATAGTTTGTGATGTGTTCACAAATTTGAAATGCGGAAGTAGCCAACACAAGTGGGACACTTTTTCAGAAGGCCGGTGTAAGAGTTTGGATTAAGGAGAAGATAGTAGCGCCTGACAGCTGCCAGAATATTGCCCGTGTGTTCCGCCACCAATTCGTAAGGCAATCCACGGTACTTCGTTCTGATTTGCTCCAGAATCCTAAACAGCACGGATTCCGACGAGATGTAGAACTTCAGCACCGTGGTCAAATCATCGAGCATTGTGTCCATAAATGTTGCGGTAAGCTTTAAAACAAAGTCAAACACATCCGGCCCCAGATGTTCCGACATTCCGAGAATGAGGTCCTCGAAGCTACTGGCATTGATAACATGTTCGAAGAGATTGCTACCGTACTTTTCCAGCACAAAGGTGACTCCGCCAACGACCACGGAACTCAATTGCAAGGCAAAAACGCCGGCGGCATAAGTACTGGGTTCCCGGCGCGGCTGCGCTGTGGGCTGCGGTCCAATCAGTCGCGACACCTGGTTGAGTCCATTAGTCTCCAGCCTTCCTGAGGCAGAATGGCTGCTGGGAATCGGCTGACTAACTTGGCCCAGTACATTCGGTCCCTGGTTGTGCTGCACACTGGCCCGAATCTCTGCTGCCGATGCCTGCACCTCGCCATTCAGCAGGAATCCCTGGCCATCGGGCGCAAACGAGTAGCGAACGCCCTCCTGGTTCAAATTTTGATTGATCCTGTAGAGATCATTGAACTGCTGACGCGAGGGCACTTCGTTGACGCTTCGTATGACGTCTAACCTGCCGCGCGTATTGCCGCGCAGTCTAATAGTCTCCTTCACAGCCTTGTCAAAGGATCGCCTGCAAAGAGAGAGTCTGTTGATTGATCTATGATTTCAGGAATTTATCTTCACCTTTGACGATTGCTAAGTGTTTCACGATAGCCCGATATATTCCTCGTGGCCGTCTCATTGATGATGGTAGAGGCCAGTTTGAAATTGTAAGCGCTGTGCGTAAAGAGAACCAGTGAAGCGGACAACTGGAGAACATCCATGCCAGTAATATCGTCACCGTCATTATATTTCTGTGTCGGCGAAAGTGATTAGATGGTAGTTTAACTTGGGCACCCCTGTGTTTAGTTTACCAATATCATATCCACCACGCCATTAGCTACTCCAGTGCCCGAGACCACGATGGAGGAGATGTTCATGCTATTCACAGTCAATTGGGTGACCTGAAAAGCGGCGGTTTAGATTAAGCTTAGGTCTAAGCCAAACGTCTCTGCGAACTTACCGCTCCCACCTCGCGACCTGCGTTTGTGGCCGCTGTCAAGGCCGTGGTGGCGCCCGCAGCTCCCAGTCCCACGGCGCCGCCGATCACGCCGAGCCAATGGCCACGTGCCTCGCGGCTTGTCACATTGATTGACTGCTCATGCTGGCTGCGATCCACCAGTCTGGCACCGGATCGGGCTGTGGCGTATCCGGCACTGGCTAGACCCACGATTCCAGCCACGGCCATCGCGGGAGCGGAAACGGGTAAAGTAAGTAAGGCTGCAATGGGCACGCAGACTGCAGCGAAACCTCCAATCGCCGATCCTGTGTCCAGAGCTCCGAGCACACGTGCATTTGGACTCCCAGCCGGCGTTACGTACTTGTCCAGTCGCACCTTGTTGTCGACAAGGCTATAGATCCCTCGCTGCGGTGCCACCATCACTCCGGCGGGCAGCTCGTTGGTGGCCACATACTGCTCCCAATTTTGGTAAACACGACCGATTTCATCCACAAACAAGTTGCAGCAGTCGGAGGTGTCGCTACTGGTGCCACTGCTACCAGCTGTGTGGAAAATTAATCAGTAAGTGGACGAGTTTATCTTTGAGATTAACGGGAAAAGTAGTTTAGTCCTTTTTGTTTCGAATTCTAAATTCGTTAACAGATTTAAAGCCTTTCAAATTACTCTTTAGTAGCTAATTATAATCAATGACATTTCTGGACATACATTATCTAACTCTTATATCGGTTTTGAATGTGATAAGATAGGGTGACAAACGAAAATCAAAAGGGATATTTCAACTTCACTTGCAGAACATCAATTGTAAAACGAACAGAAAACAATTACCAATTAAACAAGTTTAATAAGTTAAACAATAGCTTTAAATTAGCTTAAACTACAACTCACTGATGCATCGACGTGCCCGGAATACCGGATGGCTGGAATAAGTCCTTGAATCCTCTGCGCGGTTAGGGTCGTCTGTGTCCGTCACCACCAATACGTAGATGAGGGCCGTAAGCGATTGACGGTTTGTATACTTGCCTGGAAAGTAAAGGGCTTATGCAATCCATTTTTACTATATAATCGTTTTTCCCCGCTTACGTTGCTCCCAAACGGCATCGAAGATGATCTGGCGTGCTTTTATATTATCGGCGATTAGTTTGTTACGGTTTCTTTCCTCTCTTTCGAGTGCTGCTGGCGACATGGTGGAAACCGCTCTTGGGTCAAGTGGTGGCGGATCGCGAATGAGTTCATTAAGTTTTTTTTAAGTACATCGGACTGTTCCTGGGACAACCTGAATAATTACCATGTTATGATATAAGGGACCAGAAAGCCAATTGCGCAGTACTTACAAATCCCAGATTATTTCCTCGGCGTAGCCAAGTGAGTCACCGAAGTCTTGCTGCACTGCGCGGGCAGTGCGACGGCCATTACCTTGATTACCTTCCTGCTGCGCCATGTCAAAACTACTGACTCTCGCCTTATAACACCACACTTCCACTGGTAATGAAGTTTTTGCCGGGAAATCACCAAGATATATGCGCGCACTTGCCAGACTCACCCCCCGATCGCACTCAAAATACCAAAACGCCAAGTCACGCGGCTGGTCCTACTTTTATGGTAAAAATATATTTTCAGTAAATTTTGTAAGCGCTACGCGATTTTCCGTTTTTCTTAGCCATTAATTTATTTTATTCAGTTTTTATGCGATTAGCAATACTCTAAAATTGTCACACTTCTTGTAAAAATTAATACCTTTATTTTACTTGCACATTCAATAAAAATATCGGTGCTTCCTATGAGAAATTAACCCCATTTAAAATTTAAGAAAATATTTAATTAATCTAAGCGTTTATAACTTGTCTAACGATCGTATTCACAAAACGCTGAATTTTTCGTCAGTGTAAAATGACCACCTGGCAGCACAAATGAGTAAGGGCTGCCACCTATCTATCGATAGCCCCATAATCGACACGACTCCGATTCCAGTTCCAGCACGAGCCAAACAACCCTACGTGTCAGTCTCATGCGTCGGTGTAAATACAGAGTTTTTTAAATCTGCGGCGTGCAATTCTCGCCAAATCTCGCAGCAGCAACAGCGCCAACCCCGCCCCCTTGACCGGCCGCCTCCTCGACGGCGACCATTGATCGAAATTCGACGGGGGACCAGCTATTAAAGCGATAACTTCACTCCGACAGCAACATCAGCTGGAGCCGTCGGAGAAAAAGTGCAAGGGAAAGCGGAAAGGAAAGGCCAGTGCCAGTGCCAGACAAACTACTATATATATTATAGTCGTCGCTATCGGAGATGGCGGGTCAAAAGTTCCAGTACGATGAGAGTGGCGGAACGTTTTACTACTTTGTGTTATCGTTTCTGGCGCTAATATTGATACCGACCACAATTTACTATTGGCCACGTAAAAAGAAAGAAGGTTAGTACCGCTGCCCAGCCGATTTTAATCGCACTCTCTTCGCTCTCTTTTTCCCTTTTTTTCGTTCCACCTGCAGCTGTGCATGTGTGTGGGCTAGTAAGCATAGACATACATGTGATTATCCCTCTCTTGCTCTCTCTCTTTGAAGCACTGCAAATGGACACGTTCCAATAAGTTATTCTAACAACGTCAGCTCAGGTCTTCTTCGTATGGGTGAAAGCTGCGATTACCGCAAGTCGCAAGTCGAGCTCTCTGTACTTCCCAATTGGGACAGCTCCGCACTCAACAAGCGTTCATGCGTAGATCAAATCGTGATAAAACGACTATGTCACCCTGATTAAAGTTTTTTGAGTAGGTCAGCGTGTGAACTTTAATCACTCTTATTTCGAGAAATTATATTTTCCGATTCCAATTACAACATCATAACATAGTATTTCGAATTTTGAGAACTTTTACGGTTTGCTTGAACTAAAAACCGTATTGAACAATTGTTATTATAAATAAATATTGTTATAAATATCTTTAAATAACTCCAATCTTTTCATACTGCTCTTAGATCACGGCAAGCTAAAGGAGGAATGCCAGTGCGCCGACTGCCTCAAAAAGAAGACCATCCTGGCGAATGCCGAGCCGTACAGAGCGCTGACCTCATGGACCATCAAGCTGACCATCGTGCTGGGCTGGGCCCTGCTGCTCTTCCTCACGTACCGCGTCTCGCAGTTCGACTACGAGATGGCCAGCTTCGATCCCTTCGCGATCCTGAACGTGCCGCCGACCTCGTCGCAGGCGGAGATCAAGAAGGCCTACTACCGGCTGTCGAAGGTCCTGCATCCGGACAAGGAGACTGGTGACGAAAAGTCCTTCATGATGCTGAGCAAGGCCTATCAGGCCCTCACTGACGACGTGGCCAAGGAGAACTACGAGAAGTACGGCAATCCCGATGGCCCGGGTGCCATGTCCTTCGGCATCGCCCTGCCCTCCTGGATTGTCGAGAAGGAGAACAGCGTTTGGGTCCTGGGCCTGTACGGGCTGGTCTTCATGGTGGCCATGCCCTCGGCGGTGGGCGTTTGGTGGTACCGATCCATTCGCTTCAGCGGCGACAAGGTCCTGCTGGACACCACCCAAATGTACTTCTACTTCATCCACAAGACGCCGCACATGCTGCTCAAGCGGGCACTCATGGTCCTGGCGGCCAGTTTGGAGTTCGACAAGCGGCACAACTCGCAGGTGCAGGAGCGGCAGTCTGACAACGACGAGGTGCCAGCGGTGAGTGAATATCCAGATCTAGATCTCTCCCGGTGAAGAGTGACTTACGTGTACTTATCTCATCCCTCAACAGCTCATCCGGCAGTTGCCCAATCTGAACGAGAAGTGCAAGGAGCACCCGCTCTGCCGCATGTACTCCATCAAGGCCCGCGCCATTCTGCACGCCCACCTGGGCCGAATGCCCCTGAACCCCGAAACGCTGGAGCGCGACCGCCAGTTCATCGTGAAGAAGTGCCCGTACCTGGTGCAGGAAATGGTCTCGTGCGTCCACCAACTGGTCATGATGGCCTACGCGCGGCGAGTGCCCCGCCTGCCCAGCATCGAAACGATCGAGAACTGCATGAAGATGTCGCCGATGATCATCCAGGGCCTGTGGGAGTTCAAGTCGCCGCTGCTGCAGCTGCCGCACCTCACCGAGGACCACCTGTACTTCATGAACAAGAAGCGGCACGTGAAGAACCTGCAGCAGTTCGCCCAACTGAAGCCGGAGGAGAGCCGCCAGCTGCTGAAGAACCTCTCGGACTTCGAGTACGAGAACACCATGAAGGTGCTGGGCAAGATGCCGCTGATCGACTTCTCCATTCGCTGCGAGGTGATCGACGACGAGAACACCAATGTGGTGACAGCCGGTGCAATAGTTACGGTCACGGTTACGCTGGAGCGCAAGGACATGAAGACGCTGTTCGGGGACACCAAGGCGCCCGAGAAGCAGGGCATCAAGGACGAGGCCAACGAAGAGGCTGCTGGCGACGAGGATGAAGCTGCGGCCGCAGCCGCCGCCGCTGTGCCGGCCAAGAAGGCCTCCGCCTGGGCAAAGCCACGCAAGGGAGGCAAGGGCAAGGGTGGCAAGAAGCCGGCCCAGAATCAGAAGAACCAGAAGAAGGCCTCCGCCAAGGCGGCGCCCACGTCCACAACGGCAGCGGCTTCGGAGGATCAGGCGACGAATAACTCGGACGCCGAGTCGGAGGGCGGCAATGCGGAGGGCAGCGACGTGGACTCGGCCGCCGGCAGTGGCAGCGAGGACGAGGAGAAGGGCAAGAACAACTCCTCGCTGGACGACGACGACGACGAGGAGTGGGAGCGACTGCAGGCCAAGCTCAACAAGCGGGAGCGCCTCGAGGGCAAGTCCCGGCTGTCGCACACCGTCCACTGCCCCTACTTCCCCGAGGAGAAGCAGGAGTACTGGTGGACCTACATCTGCGACCGCAAGTCGCGCACCCTCCTCACGGCGCCCTACCACGTGACCAATCTGGTCGAGAAGGAGGAGATCCAGCTCAAGTTCACCGCGCCACGCTGGCCCGGCGTCTACACCTTCACCGTCTGCCTGAGATCGGGTGAGTTTTGGGATGAATAGAATAGAGTTTCAGTTGACCTATCAAGTATGGTCGGACCTTGGTGAACAGCAAACTAATCTCTCTTTTATGCAGACTCCTATCTGGGCATGGACCAGCAGCAGGAGCTGAAGTTGGATGTGCAAAAGGCGCCCGCACCACCGACGGATCATCCCCAGTGGGATCTCAGCGAATCGGAGCCGGAGCACAACGACCAGCAGGAGAACCTTAGTGACTACACCACAGACACGTCCGACGAGGAGGACAGCGACTAGATGCGGATACAGATACGCATTCGGATCCGGATCGATTGATCGACGGAAGGATATGGACGTCCCGCCCAAACCCCAATCAACCTCAACCTCCTCTCTACTTCTCTGGGACGACGGAAGAAAGGCCTCCTTGTTTTCCTTTTAGTAAATGAGTTTCGCGTGGCGGAGGAGGCACCCCAATGCGACCCTTCCTTCGCATTTTTACTAGTTTTGTAATGGAAAAGACCCCGAACTAGTGCGTAAATAACTATAACTTCATTTTACCGTGTACTGTACTAAACATAATTATAACGTACTGTATATTTAATTATTTGGATACAAGAACTAAAAGTGAGACACGTAAATACAAAAGTCTATTGATATTACTACTCTTTTGTTGTGTGTTCGAATAAACATAAAATAATCTTCGGGCTTTTAAGGGATTAACACATGAATTGCGGATACATCAAATTGAATTTACTGGATATTTGCTGAATTTTCAGAAAATTTAAAATAATTTACATTTTAAATATAGCATCACAATAATTTTAACTTGTTTCGGGAGTTTTCGTTTTCAACTTCTACGATTTTTGTCTATTAACGGTAAATTTTTTGGTATTACTTAAATTTAAAACGTAATTGTAACTAAAAAAAATTGATTTTAAATAAATTTCATAGATGGTATTCAAACTATTTAAATTATAAAAAGGATTGTAAAACAAAGTAAAACCGAAAAAAGCCCGAAGAATTCAAAAATCATAAGTTGCAATAAAAAGAATCGGTTCTCTGCCTCTGCTGACGCCGACGCCTACTGCGCAGCCGCTGCCCGCTCGCTGTCCAATAAGAGTTCCGATTGGGAATCTGACGCGGTGGATGTCTTCACTGCAGCGGTTGTCGTCGCTGTTAACGCCTTGTTGTAGGAAGGGGCGTGGCATTTGTTTTGGGGACGAAAGAGTAAAATTATAAATTAAATTCACATAAAGCCTTAAACTACGATTTGTTACCAATCACCAAAATTCGTTATTAGTGGGTTCTTGTTTCTATTTACAAAACATTTTTGGTATTATTTGGCTAGATGTGCGTTTTTTATGTGCGAGTTTGTGTGTGTGTGTGTGCATTGGTGTTTGAGATGCGGATGTCAGTGTGTGGTTGTTGTCGTTTAATCGTTGTTACTCTTCTTCGCTTTCTTCCGAAGAATTCTCCTCGGCCGGTTTACTACTCTCTTCGGTACCGGGCGTGTCTTCTACCTTCGCTTCTTCAGGTTTGTCTGGTTTTACCTTCTCGGTGGATTCTTTTGCCTCTTCTTCTGTATTTTTGTCCTCTGATTTTTCTTCAGTTTCTTCCGAAGTTTTCTCAATATCTTCTTTGGGTTCTTTATCTTTATCAGACTCTTCTTTGTTTTCCTCTTCAGTTTCTTCTTCTTCACTTTCCTTTTCAGTTTCTTCCTTGGTTTCTTCTTTGGGTTCAGCATCAACCTTTTCTTCTTCTTCGGTATTTTCTACTTCCGTTTCTTTGCTATTTTCTTCCTCAGGTTCTTTTTCAGTACTTTCTACTTCCGTTTCCTCTTCAATATTTTCCGTCTTCGTTTCTTCTTCTGGTTCCTTCTCGTCTTTACTGTTTTCTTCCTCAGCTTCAGCGATTTCCTTTTCTTTTTCTGACTTTTCTTCACTTTCTTCTTCGGCCTTACCTTCCTCTACATTTTTGTTGACATCAGATTCCTCGGAGTTTTCACCCTTATCTTCCTGAATGCTTTCCTTTGGTTTTTCTTCGTCGTTTTCTTCTTCGGACTCATCTTCAGATTTATCTTTGGTATCATCTTCGGATTTTTCTGTAGGCTCAACATCCCCCGATTTTTCTTTTGTATCATCACCTTCCGATTTTTCATTGGTATCGGATTTTTCTTTGCTTTCACCTTCCTCGGATTCTTCAGTTTTTTCTGTTTCTTCATTAGGGTAAAAATTTTGATTAGATTCTAGGGACATTCTTCCACCTTTACCTGTAGTCTCCTCTTTCTTTTCTTCGGATTCTTCACCCTCTTCGGTTTCAGTCTTTTGGTGGGCGGTTTGGATTGTGATCGTGCGAATGTTTGTGGGTGGTTTTTGGGGTTTTTTGGTGGAGGAAAGTGGAAATGTATATACAAGATCATATCAGTGGGGTCTCTATCTAAGGTTCGCTAACTTAAGTGCAAGATCATGCCTTGGTTAGCTTCTACTACTCCTAGAGCTTTATTGTTATGGTTCCTTCATGCATCATGCATTGTCTACCGATCTATTACCTTTTCTTCGGTGCTTTCTTCTTCACCCTCTGCTTTCTCCTTGTCCTCGCCGTCCTTGTCTTCATTCTTTGGAGAATCACGCAATCATTAGAAAGGTGTTAACATTACAGAACAGATTTTTAAAGACTGATATTTATGGCAAGGAAAATTCAAAAACTTTTACACTTGATCTAAATACCGTCTTTTAAAACCCTTAATAGAATTTGTTGATTAGTTTGCAGTTTCATCTCGCGTTAGTTGATGCTGAGCTGTTAGGATTTAGGTGTGTGTTATGATTTAGTGTTAGAAAAACAAGCTGGCTGTTGGTTATGATTTTTTAGTTAATACAAATATATTTCATTTTATTACAGGGGCAGCGCATTTTTATGTTTTAGCATTAACATAACGGCTGCACAAAAGTTTTAGCTCTCTACACTAATCCAACTTAGGCTTAAGTGCTGGCGTGTTTCCGAGTCCATACAAAGGTGTGTATAAATGGTACATACAAAGGTGTTGGATGTAAGTTGATGAATATATAAATATTTTGATTAAAATTGTCTTTTTCTCCGGGGGGGTTTAACACAATCGAACGCCCTCGCTTAAATACGCTCGTTAACTTAGCTTAAGAACCGCAGTCGTCATGATGAATTCGTTAAAAAATTAAACACAATTAGAAAATATACCGAGTCGGATTTCGATTTCAAAGCCGATACAATTTGCGAAAAACGTTGAACTGAATAATTTCAAGTTTTAAATTTGACTTTACATCTAATGAATCTCAGTATTTCAAAAGCTAAATTAAATAAAAAAAAAGATTAGTGAATTTGTATCGTTAGTAAACAAAAATGCAGTTCAAAAATTCCATTTCCCCAAACTTTTAAGGGCTTTGAAACCGAATACAGGGCGTTTTAAAATATAGATATAGAGAGTTGGTAGTGTCGGTGCTGTTAGATAACATTACGGGTTATAGCTGCTGTTAACTTTAGGGCTATAGTTTCAAGATGCTGCTGTTAATTCTATTGCTGTTTGCTGCAGATGATAGCTGCCTTCGTTTGTGGCGTCGTAACAGTAAACGGAAAATACGTGAATATAGCTCAAGTTCAAACCTCGGCCTTGACATCGCCATCGCCGCCCTCCGGCTTCTCCTTCTCCTCCTCCTCGGACTTCTTCTCCTCCGCTTCCGCCTCCTCCTTTTTGGACTCGCCGTTCTCCTGCTTCAACTCGATCTGGGCGGTGCTAACTGCCGTGGTGTCGGCGGGGGCCAGCTTGAGGAACACCTCCAGGGTGTCGATCTCGTTGGCCATGTCGAAGGCGTCGTAGTCGCCGCAGTACTCGTCGTCGTTGAAGAGCTGCGGAGGAAGGGGATGGCGGGGCTCCGGGTCGCTGACCGTTCCGCCGTTGCTCGTCGATTTGATCTGCATCAGCTCCTTCTCGGACTCCTTGCCGGGCTCCGTGATGTCCACCGTGTCGTACTTGATGTTCTTGCTGTCCAGGATCATCAGCACGCGCTGCTGGCGCTTCTTCACCTGTAAACAACAATGGGAAAGTCAGTATTGCCTTAAAAAGAAAACTTTTTAAAAGTGTTTTCAAAATTTAAAATTCTGTGTCGACTAGTTTTGGTTTTTTCTCAGTGTAACTCCCTTAAAATCTGTTAGCTAGCACTGTTATTTGCAGCGATGACTTAGCGGCCATAAAATTTTACCGGCAAGCCCAACCGCACACAAGCACACGCAAAACCCACTCCTACACCATATAAACACATATACAAGCAACGCAAGTCTTCCGATATGATAAAGCCTCTAATTAAGGTGGTTTCTTGCACTTCAATTATTCATTTGCGATAAGGACCTGTGTCTTCCGCTAATTTTTAGCTTTTTTTGTTCAAGTGTAGGCAAAAAAAACAAAAGCATTGTCAATAGCGCAATGACCGTTATGTTATTGTTCTTATTGGGAGAGTCTTTGCTGATTGAACAAAGGCAGTGAAAGAGAGGGGGAACGCGAGTGAATCACACTCTTGCACGCACACACACACATTCACGCAACCCACGCAACTGCGATCAATGGAAATCTCTCTCTTCCATGGACAATTTACAGTTCACAGCGGAATAAGCTTATATGGGCAATGAAATATATGTTTGTGCTGCTTCTTTCCACCACCAACACTTACAAACACACTCACTTACCAAAATACCCACTTGTTTTTCTTTGACTGTACATACAAACTTACATACCACACACTACATCATCATCATAAAACGCACAAGCATACATACAGCCACAAAACGCAGCAGAAGAAATAGAATTTGCAATGCATTCGTCACCACAGTGGTTTTTTCTTTTATTTTTATGTTTGCTGCTAATAACAGGGCCAAACATTCCAATAACATGACACTATCTTTCTGGTTTTAAAACCGCCACGCCCACAAACTCACCTCCTTGTTGCCGGACATGCCGCTGACGTAGACTTTCAGGACCATTTTCGCAGTTAATTATATTCCTTTAGCGCTAATTAAATGATATTTGCGACAGAAGTCTGTAGCTACTTTCACGACGATAAAAAATATTTTTAGATATTTTCTTTCTTTTCCTGCTTTCTTCCGTCCTGCGCCCCTACGTAATGTTTTTCACTAGTGACAAAGATACACGCACTGGGCAAGGTCGTTGCGGCTTATTAGCTGTAAAAACTGCGAAGACGCGGATTAAAAAGAGCCGTGGTGAGGCTTATAAAAGTGCAAAAATATCTAATATTAATCGGGAGTGGAAATTATTTCCTACTTTGTCGTTGGACCGAAGTGTGACCGCGAATCGATGGCTTTTAAATACCGTCCGGTCAAGAAGTATATACTTAAACCAAAAATACCAATAAAAAAGCTTTAATACTTTTATAGCTAAACTTCTTATATTATTTCGTTAAAGGTTTTACAATTGAGAATAATGAATGAATATATAATCCTTCCTGGTTTTTTGTTATAATAATTTAAGAAGAAGATCGTCTTTGTGTCATTTTAAAGGCGTGCCTTATTATTTACGAATATTTGGTAAAACATAAAGGTTTATTTTAGGCACTTATTCTCAAGCAGCGTGGTCATTTCATCGACACACTCACGGCCACACTGTTCATGTCGTCACGCACGCACGTCGTCCATTTTTGCCAAGAACTGAGACGAAAATTTGTAAATTAAACATCAAGCGAGTCGGAGACGACGAACACCTATCGACAGTGCATTTCAGTGGCCTTTGAAATACTGCTCAAACAACCTACAAGCAATAGCAATACTATTTCTACCCGAAAATATAGATTAACCCCCTAACTGAAGTTCGTGAAGTGAGTGCGTATGTGCCAGCGGAGTAGTGGCACAATAAAAAAAGTAAATAAAGCGCGTGTGAAGTGGTGCAGAAAGCTAAAAGAGAGCGGAAAACCCCAAAATCCAATTAACGTAAGTGCGATGGTGTGAAAAGTGTGCATAGCTCTTTTTCTTTTCTTCTGGAAAGCTGATAATGATATGCCATTCGACCATTTTTAAAATTTCATGAAATCAACATTCCAACTCACAACGGTGTGAGTGTGTCGAGTGTGTGTGTGTGCGTGCGAGCAAGAGCGAGACAACTAGTGTGATCGCATTGGCTGCTGTCATTTTGGTTCCGTTTTTTTAAACTAATCTCTGGTATTTGTCACGTAAAGAGTAAAACGTAAAACCCGAAAAGCGTATTAATTATTGTTTTAAAAAGGTGTAATTCATTTGGTAGAAGACGAGTTGCAAGCACACATACACACACGTGTTGCGGTTAATCGTAGGGGAGTGTGCGTGTGTTGGTGTGTAAAACAGCTGGTACAGCTGCCGCTGCAGCGGAGTGGAAGAAGAAGAGAGGGAAAGAGGATAAAAAGAACACGCTTATTATCCTGCGTAGTTTCCTTTTATCGGTGGTTGTTCTGCTGTTGGGTTACAGTTTACACTTTTTCCAGCTCTTTTTTTTCGTCCTGCATTGCTATGCATTTTGCGTTGCCTTTGACGTGGTGGTTTTTATTGTCGGTCGTTGCTTAATTGTGCTGCGCCACATTGTTTCATCGCTTTCTTGACTGTTTCTTCTTCTGTTTCTCCTTCTGTTCGGAGTTTTATTGTTTCGGAAGGGAATCGGATTTCGATTCGGTATCGCCCTTTTCCTAAGGCTACAGCAGCTGCTTGCAGGGCATCGGAGCTGTCGGTTACGGCTGAAAAAGAACTAGGACCCACAAATAAAAGATAAATGTATTAGATATACGACAAGTGATTTAAGAACACTGAAAAGTTGAAATGATTTACTTTTTAATGATAATAATAATGAGCTCATATTTAAGAGCTTTTTTATAATAACAAAAAATTGTACAACTTTTGCGGCTAAATAATTAATTTAATTTAGTTTGGTTGGATCGGATCGAATGTGGAAATGGGAACAGTAACTCCAAAATTTTTGTTCGTTTAAATTTTTTCAATTCTCCTTTGCCGTGAATATCTTATTTCAAACGTCATCACAGTCATTAAAGTATTTCTCGGAAAAGAGATAGTTTAACCGTAATTTTATCTTAATTGTGATTTTGCTGCATAATAACTGGTTAATTAACTCCAGTTTATCTGTATTTTAATTGTATAAACATATATTTTTAAGAATTATTAATGAAGCGATTAATTACTTTTTACTATGTATTTTTTGATATTTGTTATCCCCTTTATTTATGGCATTGAACATAGACAAGTTATCTTACCCTTTTAAACTGTGTCGAAAATCACGGACGAGAAACGATAAGATAGGAAAAGGTTTATTAAGCCAGATAAATCCAAACTGGCAGCACTGACAGGCCATAAATCGCTGCACCATTTTCTTTTATTGGCTGCGTGTGCGTGAGTGCACGCCTGTGAATCCTGTTTTTCCTTAAAACCAGTTTGTGGTCTTTTATCTGCCAGCAAGGTGTTCACTTCACTTTACTCATTCATTGTTTGTTTGTCGATTGCAGCCCGACGCTCGAACATCATCCATCTGCAGCATTCAGCATCCGAAATCGGGCCAACAGTCGTCAGCTAATCAATCAGAGGAACCCCAACGAGAAGAACTCCAATCATAGCGATGGCCTGTGCAACCCTGAAACGCGCCTTGGACTGGGAGTCGATGAACCAGCGGCCTCCGAAGCGCCGGCGCTGCAATCCTTTTGGCCAGGCCGGAAACAGTGCCAGTCCATCGTCCCCGTCCCGAGACCGCGATGGTCCCAGCACCTCGGCGGGCTTGCCCCACACGCCCAGCAACCGATTCGCCAGGGATAATACCGAACCGAGCCCGTTCAGGGAGGCATCGCTCGCTAAAATGTCGACAGGTAAGTACCTTGTCCTGTAAAGTAATAACATTAGGTCTACTATCGAAGATTACATCAATGAATTACGATTTACATTCCGCAATTGCAGACAAAATGGCCGAGAGCTTGTGCAACGAGATCAAAAGACTGCACAAGCGCAAGCAACTGCCGATCACCTCGTCGGCCTTGGAACGCATGCAGGACTCGGAGTCAAGCGGATCGGAGATGGGGCCGGAGAGCCCGCGCCGCCCGGACAGCCCACCGAACCACGACGAGAAGGGCCTGTTCACGTTCAAGCAGGTGAAGCTCATCTGCGAGAGCATGATCAAGGAGCGGGAGAACCAGCTGAGGGAGCGCTACGAGTCCGTGCTGACCAACAAGTTGGCCGAGCAGTACGACGCCTTCGTCAAGTTCACATACGATCAGATACAGCGTCGCTACGAGGCAGCGCCTAGCTGTGAGTTCATAAATAAATCCGTATTGATATTAGATACTAATTATTTCATCTTTTCAGACCTTTCGTAAGGCTGTGTGGGGAGCTCGAGCCTCACAAAACAGAAATTAATAATTGCACTACGATCTTATGTGACGGTAGATTTACCGCGACAACAACAGCCCTCATTTAAACTAAAAACAAAACAAATAAGAAAACTAAAGCAAACGCAAAACAAACAAAAAACAAAAACCTAAAAAAAAAACAAAACAAACTACAACATACATCGTGTTTAATATATTTTGAAATACACGCGAAGAAAGCAGTTATAGTTTATGCATAGAATTACATATATATTGTATCGGTTAGCAGCAAAGGGATGAATTATTTAAAACAGCAAGCGGAAACAACAAAGGAAAGAAACCAACAAATCTTGTTAAATTTATGTTTTTCACATAACGAAAATTCTAAATAAAATGACAAATATCTGATATGAAGAACTATAAGCACAGCCACTGCAGACATATATGGTGCATCCGTAGAGAGAACGATTCAATGAAACCTCAAAGTAGCTTCGTACATAACAGACCGACAGAATTGGTAAATATAATGTTAGGTACATGTAGCATATAAGGTATGATGTAAACCGTATCAAACTATATTGTTTTTTGAAATAGTTATTTATGAGCGGAAGGCCCTCTGCAGAAGGAGGGGCAACCATTAAAACAACAAAGATGATAACTCACTACTCATGAAGAACACTTTTCATAGTTTATTTTTGCATATTAGTTGTACTAAGGCGAGAAACGAACGCTTGACTTTGTCTATTTTCTCGAGTATCGTTTGTTAATTGTTTCTTCCTTTGATGCGAATTATGGCAAAGTAATGTAAACACAAAACAACTGAAATGGTTCGATTTGCTTTACAACATACGGGAAATGAATACCGAAATAAAAAAAAGGAAAGAAAACAAAAAAGCTATTCATTAAGTCAAATTGAACGCTTTCATATAATATACGCTTGACAGAAGACGTTTCATGTTCATTACAAATATTTTTTTCATACCTTGAAGAATATATACAAGAATATATGATATATATATATTTTTCAATTACCGCAATCATACATACTTTATATTAGTAATTTAAACTTAAAATTAGTAAAGAAATGCCATTTTTATATTAAAACAAACAAAAATAAAATGATGAATTGTAGAAGTCCGCTGGTCTTTTCATTTTAAAGCTTTTTATTCTGTTTGTGAAATGATATTTAAATTTCATCCGTTTTGTACTTCCATTATAATTTTTATAACCCACCCAAAATTTCTTAATAAAGCGTTATTGGTTCAGGTTGATCCTAAAGTAAGTTGATGGTTTTAAGTAGGCTTTGAAATACAGCTTACATATACTGGAAAACTTGAATAAACAAAGGGTTTTCTTTTTCGAGAAGGGTTAACAAATTACAAAAGTATTATTGTATGCAAAACTTTTCACTTATGAAATGATGATTCTGAGAATATTCATTTTAATTTATTGATTTTTGTGCGTTCAACAGAAACTTTCCAAACTTATCACTAACTAACTAAAAATACGCTTGTTTCACATGCTTACAATTACATAATAATGCATTAAAAGTCTTCAATAATAAATACATTTAGTTCAAAACTCAATTGAACGGAATGAGGAGGGTTATCTTATCATCATTATCAATTAGCAGCCGATTTGGAGCGTCTCCCGGCTAAGAGAACTTTGATTTTCAAATTCCACACGTAAACTAAGAAAAGGGTCTTGGGGCACATCGTTGGTCTAGATGGGGGAAATACGACCCGGAAGGCACTACGAATGGTAGAATGCGTACGATAATACAAGGGGATTTTACGAGGAGCAGCTGTAAAAGGAGGGGGGAAAATGGAAATTTCGAAATAAAAATATCAGTCGGTATGGTTGATTTCTGCATGTTTGCTTTTCGAAGATCTGCATCGACAAATGGATGTGGAAGAGCGAATTGCTGTGGTAATCAGAGCTGTTTCTTTTCCCTCAGTGGCGCATCCTTCGCGGGCTCCTTAGTCGCGGCAATCGTGGTCCTGGAAAAGGGATCCACACTGGCGTCCTTGACGCTCTTCTTTTGGGTCTGTAAATTCTTGACCAGCTGAGACGCAGGCGTTGGAGCATTGGAGGGCATTGCAGCCAAGGGCCGAGCATGATTTAAAAAAGCTTGGGTGCCCAATCCTCCACCCAACGACTGGTGAGGACTAAAAAAACCAGTTGCAGCGGTGCCGTTGTGTAGATATTGATCCGAATCAGAGTCAAACATATGCACCGATGAGTTGCTGGTCCTTGGCACGTCCGTCCACCATCGCTTTATGGTTATGCCTAGTTGGTCCTTGGCCTTGAAGATGTGATCTATAATCCCATCGATCAGTGAGCCCAATGTGTCGTACTCATTGGGCACCATTCCATCGACGCTGCTCTCGAAGTAGCTGAACATGGGAAACCAAACACGCGTCCTCCTCGAGTCGCTTTGCATGAGGGCCTGATAGAAAGATAGTCTTGTTATCCACAGTTCTAAAATGTGTTCAAGAATATCTCAAATAATTACCCTGTTATTTGCCAAAGTGTGGTAATACAAAAACAGGCGTGAGGTGATATAGAAGGCCACAAACACATCGATGGAGTAGTGCTCGTGGGCAGCCAGGATAAAGAAGATGCCAAACATGTTGAGCAGCCAGGTGAGCGTGTGCAGGAAGTACAGATTCCGCGGCGTGTCTATAAAACACCATTAAAAATATAAGCTGGAAGTAACGTAAAAGAAAAACATTCTTTATAACTCACACTCCGTGATAAAGAAATTAAGTAGGGTCAGGGCCACCGTGTGGCCACTGAACATGTAGTCGCCGCAGGTCCGTACGCCCTGAATTGACATCCCCAGACCACTCCAGATGCGATAGGCACGCGACATCCGGATGATCAGCGCACCCACCATGTCCACATTCGGGTCATCGATGGCAAAGTCCTTTTGGCTGCACTGCAAATGGGTTCCCGGGACACTCAGCGAGGTGATCAGCATGGTGACGCAGCGCAGCAGGAAAACCGTGCCGGCCAGGGCGAAAAATCGCCTCAGAAGCACCAACCGGTATTTGTGGAAGATCAGCACGACCACCCAAATAGTGAAGAGCAGCGAGCCTGTGATTTCGCACATGTTGAAGGCCCATGGAATGTGCGGCACGTTGTCCAGGAAAATGTCCGGCAGCGGTGGATAGCGTTTCATATCCGGAACTCGCTCGTGCACGATGACCATCGTTAACGACGTTATCCAGGTGACCACAAACGAATAGCCTGCAGGTGGACAGAAGAAACTTGGTCACTATGCGGATCCAAAAATAATCGTGAAATTACAATTTGTTGCAACACCCTAGAACAAATTGGTTTTTAAAATGTGTATCGAAATTCAGAAGTTAAGTACCTCACTTGACATTTTATAAACTTTTTGATTTTAAATAAATATATATGAAGAATTTTGTTACTAAAAATAGTATGAACAGTATAAATGAGCAACAATGAAAAACTGGGGCAAATGAGAACTGATTCAGGAAGATGATCTAAGATTTGCGACTTTGTTTGTGCTAAAATTGGGTTACACAAAGCGCAAACCTTTAAAACAAAGGATATCAACATTTTAATTTTAAATTTTATTGCATTTGGCCTCATTTCAAAAGCGCTAAAAGGAAAATATTCTCTACCTAAGCAAAGAATTATTTATAATCAGCTTTATCTGTCCAAATTGAGACTTATCTATTCAAAAGACCATGACAAAAAAACGCAGTCTGTAATGATTGATAGGAAATAATTCAAGATAAGCCCATTGTTATATTCGCACTTTGCCCATATAAACATTTTGAGTATTTTCTTGTAAAAATTATTATTTTATTATAGTTTCTGTAACTGTTTTTACTACACTTGCAAAGGAAACTAAGTAATCAACAAAGAGTATTTTTCTAGATTAATGATAAAAATCGAAACTCGACTGACAACTTTGTTTATGTTTTTTATGTGGCCAAACTGTTGCTCACTTCCCCTTAAAGTAAGTCAGCCGTTTGAAGGGTATTATAAACAAATCAGAATTTGAAATTTAATGCACGCAAAATTACACAAAAGGCACACAAAATAATAAAAACAGTAAGCCAGAATGAGAGGTGATATTCCCCATGAGTACACAAATGAATTCGAGCGGCGTCTCCGCACGTAACCTCTAAAATGTTCAAAATAAATAAAAGCAAAGCGGCAACAGCGTTCAAAACCGTAATTAAAGATACAGTGACGTATTTAGTAAGAATATATTTATAGTAAATAATTAAACTCTTTAAGGGTTTTGGGTATTGGGTTTAAAGGGCGACCGCAACTGCCCCAAATCAGTGTTTGAATTATAATGACGTATGTAATCAGATATTTATGGCATGCGTGACAATGAACTCTAAGGAAAGCAATATTATTTTTGGGCTATCACTGAAATACTTGTAGTGTAACTCAGAGTTATAATTAGAAAGCTATAACAGAAATAATTTGATTGACATTTGGACCCACGGCAATTATTTACATCTAATTATAAGAGAGAAAAACATTACAAATATCTTGTTGAACAACACCAACCTAGTTCAAGCTCAATTTCAAAAAGTAATACTTTTATACCCGCGTTATCAGTTGCTAAATCATCAAAATAAACACTACAATCTCTATTTCAAAGTTTATACGATATGGGTTGAAGTCAAGGCGACTGCAATAGTTTGAACATATATATAGGAAGTGACGTTTCCATTTCTAGGTTATTTGCACTAAACTGATTCAGTACTCCAAATAATCACCGTATGCATATGTGCGCCGTTCAGTTCCGTGGGGGAACCTCTTAGCTCTCGGTTATCGCTGGGCAAGTTTATGGCCCTCCCCACAAATTGCGATATAGCGAGAAGCTCTCGACAATTGGCACACGACCGATAAGCCCACAGAGACAATCAATGAACAATTGACCTTCGTAATTGAAGGGGGCCGGCTGGCAGGTGTGGGATATGTTTACTCACCTAAACTCATGGCGGTTTTAAAGTATTCCTGCGGAACATAGCGTCCGCCCATGCGCAAATAGGTATCGCAATCGGACACATAGCTAGGGCACTCGGGCTGCGGGCAGGGACACGTGGATGAGGAGGGCGGTCCGGCGGAGTTCACCAGCGGCATGTAGACCGAGTTCCCGCCATGACTCTCGATGCCCAGCATCACAGATTCCGCCGAGCTGTTTTTTACCAGAAGCTGTATTTTGAGCACTGACAGCCAGAACTTTTTAAGCTCGCCAAAGGTGAGTTTGTAGCCTAAGCGGTAGCGCATATCCCGAACGTCTTCCTCGGTGAGGGATAGCAGGACCTCGCCATCAATTGCCTCTTGGCGCAGGCAGTCGAGCAAAATTTTTGAGAAATGTTCCGTATGGCTCGCCCAGTTGGACACATCGTCCACCGACCATTGGGCCACCAAAAAGGGATCCACGGGCTCCGGATCAGGCGATCCATTGGTGAGGTGCTTCTCCGGCGGATCAAGAAATTGCATCCGGGGCTCCGTAGCCAGTCCACCGCCCTCCGAACGTGTCTGAGTCACCGGATCGTCAATTTCACCGTCGCACATCGCGCTTTCTTTTTTCCGTTCGGTGGTGTTCTTCTTCTGGCTTATTTTTTGTTTTTGTTATTACCGATTTTGCGATATATGCCCAGTCCAATAAAATTGTGCTGCCAAAACTCAGGCGGTGTGCATCGTTATCCACTGCTGCGGCGCATAATTAACACCTCCCTAATTGCGCGTCCAGCGTTTGTTGATGTAAAAGCACATTTAATTTGGTTACTTGTAAAATCCAGCGACTACTCAGTTTGTTCCGTCCAGAGAGCGAGTGAGAGAGCAGAATGGAGCGAGCGGGTCTGTTGCGGGCTGGAGCGAGATAACAACGTCGAACAGCTGTTTGGGGCTATCTCAGGCTTATCGATAGTCGTCGATACCGATTTGTGAGGGAACTAAAAGCAGTGTTTACACTGCAAAATTTTCAAGAATCGTGTAATTAATGCAATATGCATAAAATAATATTAATTTACTGTAAACAATACTTTTTTGGGTCGTAATGCAAAACAAACTAATTAAAAATGCATTATTTCAATGTAAAACAAAAGATACTCTTCTATTTGATGAAATCGCTTTCGATTCAATTGCGTCCTTATGAAAACGCAAGGGTGTGGGAACAGTCCAAGAAGCGAAGTTATCGGGGCGACAGCGTCGTTAGCATTTTGCGAGCGGCAAAGTGAATTTATAATTCTCGTGCGGATGTTTAGCCAGATTTAATCCTCAAATAATATGAAGAAAAATAAGCCGCTGCTGCACGACCACCTGATAACGATCCGAGTGAAGAAGGTACGTGAAAATCAGTAGTTTTTGCGGCTAAAATTGTCCAATTGTCTGCTGCGCGATAGCCGGCAAATTCCTACAAAAAAAAAAAAAACACTGAAACCCTTTATAAGGGCGGCGAATTTGGGCAAGGAAAAAACAAGGTTAGGTTGCAGGCTGCTCGCATCGTGTGCTAATTGTTATTTCCGCTCTTTCCGAATTTAGTACCTCGAGGAACACATTGGGGAAACATACCTGGATGTGAAGCAGATGACCCGGGAGTTGATGCAAAAGTACCCGGAGTATTCGCGTCGCAAATTCGGTCCCTTCAGGCAATTGGTGCACCAAGGTAAACAATGGGCTAATTTTGAATTGGCACAATTTCTTGGGAGTTTCCATGAAAATCCCTTGTTATCTGCTGGTTTAAGGCGTCAGGTTCCCATTCTGATGATATATGAGGCTCATAAATTTGCTGACCTTAGGTCGTCAGTGATTCATAAAAGCTGAGATTACCAAATCTATTTCAGAATTTATGTTTTTATTATTTTAACTTTGCCACTTCCTTTAAACTGTAGAACAGTATTATAATTTAGCTTTCTCCTTCAGCCTTTTCCATCATCTCGGATAGCTACAATTTGGACAAGGTTAGCAGCTCGGAGGACGAGTGCGTCAGCGAGGAATTCGAGGCCCCACCGGTCAATAGTGTCATGAACAATATGATGAACAGCCTGTATTCACAGCCGTTGAAACCACTGGCTGCAAAGCCAATCAGCGAACCCATCGACATATCCAGTGGAGACGACAACGACGATGACTCCAATACCAAAACCACCAATGGCGAAGTTCCAACTCCTGCTCCACCGTCAGCTCAGCCCAATGCGCTGAAGCGTCTAATGGAAGAGTTGCCAGAGTCCACGGTGGTAGCCAAGAAATGTAAGTTATACCCAACATAAGCTTTGACTTGAATTTTAACAATTCTGCGCTCTAGCAGCTAAGCCGAATTCTACTCAAGGCGGTTGTCCGGACTCGGCCCACAAATGTGAGTGGTTCAAAGCATTTCTCTTAGAAAATTATTAAATATTATTTTTCAGATCTGGCAAGTGGTCCCAGAGGCAAAAAACCCTCTGAGGACTCCGGACCACGCAAGGACCATCGTAATGCGCCCGGCTTGTATCAACAACTGCATCAAAATCAAAATCAAAACCTAAATCGTGATCGCCCACGGAAGTACAAGAAGGAGCTGGATGTGCAGCACACCACCGAGAGTTTCCGCGACATCGGAGGCATGGATAGCACTCTCAAGGAGTTATGCGAGATGCTTATCCACATTAAGTCGCCAGAGTTTTATTTTCAATTGGGACTGCTGCCCTCACGGGGTCTTTTGTTACATGGTCCGCCTGGATGTGGTAAAACTTTTCTAGCTCGTGCCATCAGTGGGGTATGTTTTCAAAAGTAAAATAACAAATTGTCCCTTTTGTGAACCATCTCTCTTATTCTCTATAGCAATTGAAAATGCCCCTGCTGGAAGTGCCGGCCACCGAACTAATTGGCGGCATTTCTGGTGAGTCAGAGCAGCGTATTCGGGAGGTCTTCGACCAGGCCATAGGATACTCGCCCTGCGTGCTGTTCATTGACGAGATCGACGCCATCGGGGGCAATCGTCAGTGGGCAGCAAAGGATATGGAGCGTCGCATTGTGTCACAACTGATCAGCAGCTTGGATAACCTCAAGACCAACGAGTTTGGTCAGTCTGTGGTCGTCATAGGCGCCACCACGCGTCCCGATGTCTTGGATCCTGGTCTACGACGCGTCGGTCGCTTCGATCACGAAATTGCCATACACATTCCATCGCGCAAGGAACGCCGAGAGATTCTGCGCATCCAGTGCGAGGGATTATCCGTCGACCCGAAACTTAATTACGATAAGATTGCTGAGCTAACACCTGGTTACGTGGGCGCTGATCTGATGGCTCTAGTTAGCCGCGCTGCTTCCGTAGCGGTTAAGCGTAGGTCGATGAAAAAGTTCCGCGAACTGCACGCTGCCAGTGAGAAGAATATGACAACCGTGACCTTGGATGACGATGAGCCCATCGAGGAGCCAAGCGATAAAGCTGAAAAAGAAGCAGAGGCTAAATCTAAACCTGATAAAAACCCTGAAAAAGAAGATGAGGCAGTTGCAAAAGATGATGGCGAGAAGAATCCAACCGAAAAGGACAAAGAAGCGAAGGAGGTTACTAAAGATGATGGCGACAAGAACCCAACCAAGGAGGAGACAACTAAAGAGGATAAATCCAAACCTGAAACTCCCAAGAAAGAGACTAATGGCAAGTCACCTCAAAAATCCAAGGATACCGCCATGGAAGTTGATGAAGAAGCTTTGAAAACACCTGAAAAGCCGGAGAAACCCAAAGAGCAGACAGCAGACTCCTCCAATAACGAATACTACGAGCCCACACTGGCCGAGCTAACCAACTTTCTGGACAATCCACCCGAGGAGTTCGCCGATCCGAATTTCTGCCTCACTCTCATCGATTTCGTAGACGCCATCAAGGTGATGCAGCCGTCAGCAAAACGCGAGGGCTTTGTGACGGTGCCGGACACCACTTGGGATGACATTGGAGCCTTGCAAGACATTCGCGATGAACTGAAGCTGGCTGTCCTAGCGCCCGTTAAGTATCCTGAGATGCTTGACAGGCTTGGATTGAATGCCCCCTCGGGCGTTCTGCTCTGCGGTCCACCGGGTTGTGGTAAAACTCTCCTTGCCAAGGCAATTGCCAATGAGGCCGGCATTAACTTTATATCGGTGAAGGGTCCCGAGCTGATGAACATGGTAATTTGATAGAAATTATGAATTTTAATTCACTTGCTAATTTGATTGTTTTGCAGTATGTTGGAGAGAGCGAGCGCGCTGTGCGTGCTTGCTTCCAACGAGCTCGCAACTCTGCACCCTGCGTCATCTTCTTTGACGAGTTCGACTCCTTGTGCCCCAAGCGATCCGATGGTGGCGATGGCAACAATTCCGGAACCCGCATTGTCAATCAGCTGCTGACGGAGATGGATGGTGTTGAAGAGCGCAAGGGTGTTTACATCCTGGCGGCGACCAACAGACCGGACATAATTGATCCGGCAATCCTGCGACCGGGTCGATTGGACACCATTCTGTACGTCGGTCTGCCTGAGAAGAGCGAGCGTGCAGAGATTCTTAAGGCCACCACCAAGGTAGGCAACCAGTATCATGTTGAAACTTATAACCAATTGTAAATCATTAAATTCCTTGCTTTCGCAGAATGGAAAGCGTCCTGTGCTGGCCGAGGATGTGGATCTGGACGAGATTGCTGCACAAACTGAAGGCTATACTGGTGCAGATCTGGCAGGACTGGTTAAGCAGGCCTCTATGTACTCACTGCGCCAATCCCTTAATAATGGTGACACTAAACTCGATGATCTTTGCGTACGCAGCCAACATTTCAAAGAAGCTCTGCAGCAGCTGCGTCCCTCAGTTAGCGAAAAAGTAAGTAAAGCTTTAAATATTCAAAAGTATGGATGCAATGCTTATTCAATTATTACTCAACAGGATCGCAAAATATACGATAAACTGCGCATGAAATACGCAGCACCTAGGGTACCCACCTTTGATGATAAGTAACTCTCTCAACAGAAATGGATTTGTTGTTTTAGTCGATAGGCGCACCCGCAAACCAAAAAGAATGTGAATTGCGAGGATTAACGAATAATTTTCAATACATTAAATGTAATGTTACTCGGAAACTGGAGTATTTCTTTGATATGTGAGCCTTTCTAAAAAGCGAAATGTATTTCTTTTTATTTTATACAGCGGAAGGGTTTAAGTTTCCATTAAAGATATCAATTGTAAACTAATTTTCTGTTTCTGTTTTTTATTTTTACAAAGGTTATTTTAGAAAACCAGCAGCACTGTAATTTAATTGAAAATTTCTATGTTTTGCAACTGAAGTAGACCTTAAAATTTAATTTATAACTAAAATCTTAACACACTCGTACTAATCACAAGAAGACAGAACGTTAGGCCTACAAAAAGACTCCGAGCGGCATGGTGGATGCAATGGGAGGTCTGTGTGTGGTGAGGATCGCGCCATCGCCACCTCCTCGTCCATCTCGACTGATGCCGACTCGCTTGGCCGGTGGATAAACCGCGGACATTTGCCGCGGGAAGAGGCCGGGGGCAGGGGTTGCACTCCCTCAGGCAGGACCTGGGATCCACCGGTCCTGTAACCCTTGTGCAGACGGAGGATGGCTTCGTGTTGCGCCATCACCGAGCGCTTGGCCCGCTTCTTCTTCTTGGGCGCAGTCTTGTTGCAATCGCCGCCAGCTGCGGTGGACTCATCCGTGGACGGGGATGTACTTTCTGTGATCACACCGATGGTACTGCCCTGCGGTGACTCGTAATGTGCCGGACGCGGCATTGGCGGGTCATTTTCACGGACGATTTGGTGGCGCAGGTCGTAGGAGCGCTTGCACATTTCCCGAATGCCATACCAGCTCTCGTGTCCAATCTGACTGATCATCTCCACCGGAGGCTGGAAGCCCAGTTCCCGCGAAGGCAGCTCCATCACCAAAGCCATCGGCACCTTCAGCTTCCCGTACACGTAATCCACCACGGATCCGGCGATCGTGCGCTTGTGCAGGCAGCTGATGCTCCCCGTCCGGTACTCCCTTCCGTTGTAGGATTTAATGGCACTCTTTCCTGAATTGGCCAGCGAGCTAAGCTCCCGCCAGAAGAGCGGATTTTCCCGGCAGTAGCCCCACGGATACATGATGCTCTGCCCGTAGGAGTGGAGCGACAGGAAGAACAGCAGGTTGGGACTCATCCGCTCGAGGATGTTCTTCATGGCCCGCGTCTCCAGCTCGGAGAAGGCCTTCTCTCCCTTGTACGTGTTCCGGTTAATCTTGCTGGGCCCGCTGTTCCAGAATATGTCGTAGTTCCGGTTGCAGTCCGTGCCCACAAACTTACTGGCCTTGTGTGGCCGTCGGTTTTTCCTCCAGTTAGGATTCTGACAATGAGATGGATTATATAAAAATGTTAATAAAAATTATAATCCGCGCATTAGCGTTTTATTATTCTGAATATCTAAGACCAATTTCTATGTTTTGGAATCAAATATTAATTTTAAATTCTAACTCACTGATCAACAACATTTGAAAACTTTAAATGTGGTTTAAGTTTTAAAGTAATTTACCTTTGTGCGGGAATATTCGTAGCCATCGGGGTTAACCAGAGGCACAATGATGAAGCGCAGCTTTCGCAGCACCTCCACATTCCGGGTGTATCGCTCCGTCAGTTGGTAGATACAATTGAGGGCTGTGGACACACTTATCCATTCGCGGGCATGGGTTCCCGCCTCGATGAAGACGGTTTTCCGACACTGCTCCCCCGTGTGGACAACGGGAGCGGTGGATCGTCCTATTGTGACGAAAGGCGGCGGTGATTGTTGCCGCATCTGAGAGGTTAGCTCCACATTGTTCGAGTTCATCCAATTTATCTCGAGAGCTCGAACCTCCCGCTTTTCGTGCGTTTGTCCCAGGGTGTACATGTGCACAAAGTGCGGATATCGCTGGGCCAGGTACTCCAGATACTGGTTGACCTGCTTGTACTCCAAGTAAGTGTGCAGGATGTCCGGTCTTGGGATGACCAACCGGCGCAGCGGAGTAACGGGAGCATCCCGACTCCGATCCGTGGCCGTCTGCACATTACGTTTCGATTTAGCGGACATAGTGTCCAAAACAAAGAATTTAAATAGAGATCGGAGAGAAAACTAGTTACCACTTCGGAATTTAAAAGGCTTGTATATAGTTTGAATGAAACTTGAATGGAAACTGAGAGTCTGAACGAATCCGACAGCTGAGCAGAGGGAACCTGGCCTGCTGGGCGGTATTCTCACCTGGCACTTGATGTTCAGATGAAGCCGCTCGACCACGAGCAAAGCGAGCCGTGTGCCCTGCTTGGGTTTGTCTTCCATTGTGCGGGACTTAAACAGAGGCCGCCGGGGTTTTGTACCCCTAAATGGCAGAAATCGTACCTCTACAGAAAGGGCAACTCTCCTACAGAAGCTACTATTGATACACCTGGGGAAATTTGAGTTAAATTCATAGATGGTAAGTTCAGATAAATGTATTCTAAAGAAAGATGTAAGATTCTGGTAAATTTACTAGTAATAGTTATTATTTTTATTAATTATTTTATTTTTAGCAAAATAATTACTTCTAATTAGGCGATTAGTATTTTTTCGAGTGCATAGTTCGCAGTGGGTAAATGGGACAGCGACAACGTTTAATAAGTTGGGCACGGTAGCATGTAATGCGGAATTGGATTTGGATTCCGGCTCGGAATCCCCCAGTCGGTCTGCAGCTGCCACAAAACGCAAATATGCTAAATGTCAGACAGGAGGACGGGGTAGCTTGACTGGTGGGCGTGGAGCAGGAGCATAATCAGTAGCAGGAGCAGGAGCAGGAGCAGCGGAATAAAGGAGCAGCAACGTGGGCGTCCAAAAGCGCAGGAGGCTCGTTTCAATGCAAATAAACAGGGACTCCTGGAACTGGCGTGCAGCCTGGGAAACGAGCCAGGACCTCGAGAAAGGGCACGTTTAGTCCTTCTCCGGTTAAGCGTTTTACATTGAAGTTCATTTGTGGATCTGGGCTTCCTGATTACACTTGGCTACTGGTAAAAAGGACAACAAAGATACCAAATGGTTAGTCTGTAAATTGCTTAGATTTTTTTTTTTTAATTTATCAGTTGTGGAAAAATAAAGAGATTTCATAATAAATCTGCTAATCGCTTTTCAATGATGATTAGATAACATTTTTATTGAACAATGTTAACATATTACATATTACGAAATATGTACTAATTTATGCAAAAAAATTGATTACAATATTATCATTACATTCTATTCAAGTTTATTGTATTTTATGACCGCATTAGATGATCAAACAAATCTTTCGCTTTATGATGAGCATAAAATGGTAAACTTACTTTTCCGGCAACTTGTTGCCGAGTGTAATATATTTTCTTATGGCCTGGCAAATGTCATGTCAACGCAAAAGTCAAAAGTGCGCGGCAGGTCGGTGTAGAAGCCACACACAAAAATTCAAACAGCCGTAGGGCTGAGTCCTTAAGGGGGCTTCTCATGTAAAATTTTAAAAAAATCGAACATTTTTTTTTTTCATAAATCGATAGAATAACGTCTTGAGAGTATATTCCCGAAGTTTTATGACTCAACTCTCAATATTATGGAAAATATCAGTGATTGAACGAGCGCGCTCAAGTTCAAGACCCACACTAACTCAAAACTTTAAATCGTTTTTTCTCAAAACTATGTTTTAAAAAACGCGGTACACGATTACGGAAAAACTACTGAACCGATTTTTGATTTCTAAAAAGTGTTTTGCAGATTATACATTGAACGAGTGCGTGAATATCTGAAATTGTGAAAAAAAAGTTATTTTATACACTTTTCAGCCCAATTCAGCAAAAAAAAGACGAAAAAATGGCACTTTTTTTTCAAGACGTGATTTCAATATTTTAAAATCGAATTTTTTGAAGTGGCTGACATTCACGCACTCGGTTGAACCTTGCTGCATACAAAAAATTTTTTTTTGTTTTTTTTCAGATGAAAACTTTTTGCTCCACCCTGTACCGCAATAAGTCCCTCAGCCGCGTCGAGCCTCACGCGACCTTGAATAAGTCCGCCATTTTGTTTTTTAGAACTTTCAAAAAATGTTTTTCTCATACTTTAAACATGTCTTCAAATATGTGCAAAAAATTATTCGTGTAAGTTTTCATTTTCCAAGTGAAAAAAATTCCCAAAAAACCACTACTTTTTGGCATGTTACATGAGAAGCCCCCCTTAACTGAATCCATATAAATTGGTATAAATATGTATGGCATATAGCGGGAGCAACGCAACCAGTTGATTTATACAGGAACCATGTTCGTGTTGATTTTCATTTAACGGTCTTTTAGTCAACTTCCTGACACAGTGACTGCCATATATTTACGTCTGGCTATGTCTACATAATAAAGTTACTCCTTCTGCGGTTGAATACCCTTTAGATAACAAACTTTACGTTGGTTCTTAGAGAAAATTTAATTTGTATTTTAAAAATATAATACGTACTTTATATATTGTTGTTTTAATTAACCTTAAGAGTTCTCCTTTATTTGTGATATGGATTAACTGCTTCCATATTTTAAGGGTATTCCCTAGTCGTAAAATTAAAAAACCTTCTTGAAAACATTTTTCTGCATTTTTTAGTGTTACATGGCATGAACACGCAAAGTCCCATACCAAATGGATGAAGGGAGCAAGTGAAGGCTTTCCCAGTCAGTAAGTCAGTCGGTTGGTCGTCCTTTTACTCTTCAGGAGTTAAAAGTTAAGAGGGGAAACCCTTTTCAAGTATGCATTATGTCATTAGCATGTTGGCAAATATAAAGGGCCAAACTTTGTTGAATTCTTGCCTTCTTTTTTCCTGCCTGATGGCTGCCTCCTGTCTTTCATTTGGGTTGCGATGACGAAATGTAATGTAGCATAAAACTGTTTACAAATTAACGAAATTCCAAACAATTATGCCCAAACAAATTCGTATTCGCTGGAAAACTTTTGCTTGGACCTGCCCCAACAATCTGGAGTTTTGTCATGTGGCAGGGCAATTTAACTTTGTGCAATTTGGCATAGTTTGTAAGGCAATATTCTGATTATTTTGATTACTGAACGAGCGCAACAAGATCCCCAACTCCACAAGCCAATAATCACTCTATTAAGAAAATATGTGCACGGCAAAAAAAAAAAACATATATTAATAAAGTAAAATAAATTATTATAGAAGAAAAAAGTAAAAACATGTGTGGATTAATATTATAAATGTACCCTTAACATCGACTAAGTTCGATTAAAATCGAAAATAATAATTTATTTCTGTGCAGTCGGCGGTTCCGTTCCCATACAAGAGATTGAAGATTTCATGTTCATGGTTAAGGCCAATCGCATCTATTGTCACCAGAGTTTTCAGATGCAAATAATGCCGCCATAACAAAAAGCATGCCTTGAGCCGAACAATACCGAAAAACAAATAGATCTCTCCTTATACGAATACATTTAAGCCTTTGAGTTAATGTGATCGCAGAGCAGAGATAGAGAATTAATTGGCCGGAGAAGTTGAATGCCCTTTGGGCTGCTGCTGCTGCTGATGGCGGCTTCTGGGCCTGGTTAATAAATATACTAAAATGATTTAGAACTCGACTAGAGGACGGGCATTAAGCCAGGCGAAGTCATTAAGCCACCAGTGGTCGCACGAATTTTAAATGTAAATTATTTCAGATAAACTAGTTCTGCGTCGGACCGACACGACCGGAAATATGCGAATGGCGGGTTATTTGTTCATCTGCCGAACTCCCTATCGAAGAACTGCAGGCGGAAGTGCCCGAAGCGAAGTTGAAGCCAAGTGTTATAATTACACACAAAAGCTGACCGAAACAGCCAAACGATCGAACTGAGCCGAAAGCAAAGTCAAGCGATCAAATAAAAATATCAGACGCTGAGTTGGACGTTGAGTGACCTGGCTTCTGGCGGCGATCATCACAATGATGATCTCTTGACGAATTAATGAACTCGATAAATGCGTATTTAGACGGTGGATGGGTAGATGGTAACTGTAATGAACCGATCCGAGCCCGAAGCCATCGCTTCCGGCTGTTTTGGGCCCGTGACCTTGTCCGTTTTTGGCCAAAATCGAAAGTTCAGTGCTCCAACCTGTGTGGCCCATTTGGGGGTACAGACACGAGCACATCTTGAACTTTCAAATCGAACCGCCACAGAACACTCATCATCATGACATTAGGAAGCCTCAAGCATACGGGTTCCTCTATAAAAACCAGAAAATAAACAAGCAACGGCTTCAGAATCGATTCACTAACCGCCATATGCGGATGCAAAACCAGCAAAAGAAAAAAAAACATAATCCAGCGAGAACAAATTGTTAGTGCGACAGAAAAGTGATCAAATTATAGAGAACAAGTTTTCGGTTATTTTAACGATACAGAACCAAATCACTTAAAGAAAAGAAAAAGTTCAAATTAAAGGGAGTCGAACCGGTGAATAAATTATGCAAAAATAACAAGAAGTTCTTATCCGACCACCGAATTATTTATATAGAGCCGACGCGTGCCCAAAATCTCGTCTCGTGACGCGATCGCCGCTTTATCGCTTCGGAACTTATATAAACTGGTCGCTGAGCCCGACCTTGACACTCACTTTTCTAAACAATCAACTCGGATCCGAGACTATTTTTTGGTCTCTGCCTTTTTGGCCAGCATCTCGTCTTCTTTCTCGGTCGCTTTACAAACCGCCCGTCAGTCTTCCGCCGGACCGGAGATGGAACGCACGGATCGCGTCCGCTGAGCTGTGAATTATAATATTTCCCCGAAAACCGAAACCCCAAACCCAAAACCCAAACCAGCCAGCTAATCGCTTCAACTAAAAGCTCTCGAAGACTCTTGCCTAATAGCCACAAGTGCAGCGTGCAAACAATAAGACAAACAGCCAAACAAAAGTGCAAAGAAAAAAATAAATACATTAAAAACGTGTGCTTGTCCATGCAACTGCATATTTTAATACATAATTAGCCAGAGATCGTGGAAGCATCTCAGTGGAAGTGAATATAGTATACGAGTACATATATGGCAAAAATGTGGCAGGGAATCGTGTGGAGCTTGACTTTCTGCCTCGTCGGATTGGCGGGTTTTGGCCTCGGCAACAACTTGGCCGGCTACGAAGGGTAATCATCAGCGGCTACTCGCATTAATTATAATTCACAGCGTTACCGAAAAGTAGCCAAAAGAAAAAAAATAACCATACGTAATACACATCAATCAAGCGGCTCTTTAGGGCAAGTCATTAATTGAATTTTTTTCGGTCAGTGGTTGAGTGTTTCTAGCTGATAAACGGGTTTTCGCATCTTTGTCGCGATCAGGGACAATGCAGTAGTTAGTTACCGAGGACGACCGAGCCTGTCGTCCTGGATGATTCCATAGGCTCCAATAAACACGGCTGCGTACATTATAAAGCCATCCAGCATGTTGAAGTCGCTCTGTTTGGATCGGTAGGACAGATACGGAATGGCCAAAATAGAGGCCAACCAAAAGTAGCTATAGAATTGGCGGAACCAATCGACAGAGTTCTGGAACAGTTGAATCATTGTGTTGATCTTTGTAGGTTATTAAAATTTATATGTATATATAAATCAAAATAGGAAGTAATTTGCCTGGATAACTTGAGTAAACGTAAATCTGGTTTAAAGAGAAATATTTTTTAGAGTTTAAAAAATGTAACCCAAAGTTTTTTAATTTTTTTTTATTATTTTAAAAATATATTCCTGATAACTTATTATTTAGTACCTACCAAATAAAGAGGTATGTACGTTTCAGATAAAGTTTTTTTATGTTGTTCAGTTTTTATTTGAGTTAATTATTCCATGAAAAACACAAACCTTTGCCACTTCATGCGATAAAATAATTAACTAGCAAGTGCATTTTATTTGAAGTCTTAATGAACAGTAGTATTTTACTTAAATATTTCCTCTATTCTGTTTGTCGAGTCCATGGTCATTGGCCGTGATTAGAAGTCGTCATAATAAGCGTCGCTAAACGTTTTGTCGTTTGGTCAATGGCCAACAGTTGTACATTCAACCATTCCGTTGATAATTTGCACAATTTGTAATTGCCAAGCGATCGCAGTGCGAAATGTTTGCCAAACATGCCACTCCCCCTCGCCTGTCAGCGGCCCATGTGGCGTATGAGTGATGGATGAGGGCTTTGCGGCCGAAGGGGCAGAACTTCAGGCCCACTGTCTGGAATTCCGTGTCTGAATTGGAAGCCAACTTCCGATCTGAACAGCAGCCGGCAGTTTCATCACCTAAACATTTTCAAGTTCAAAAATATAAAGCTTAGCACGCAGAGAGAGATAAACATTTTCACAAGGTCGAATTTCAAATGGACAATAGGCTCTGATTTGGTTAATAATGCAATGGGAAAATTTAAAAAGAGAAATATATGCAAGTAAAAGATGAAAAATGAATCCCGCTGGCTACTTTATTTTGGCCAACAGCTGGGTGCATAATAAAATTATCATCGAATGCCGTTGGCTGTCTCACGTGATTAGCTTTTGTCTGCCATATAATAGCATATCGTATGCCCCCTGCCACCCACACAATCCCATAATGCAGACGAGATAAATATGCAGGGTTTCAAGACTTGTTGCTTCACATTATACGAGTGTCTTGTATTTTGTGTGTGTTTTCCGTTGTGGAATTTCAAGAGATGATAAATTGGCCACCGATTCGAGCGAGGTGGCAAAGAGCCAACAAACTGCGGCCAGCAGTCGCTTTGCATAAATTTATGAATCAACAACTCATTTTGACGCCAGGCGAGGGCGAGCCATTAATTAATTTGTTGTCCAATTAGTTTGAGACATGTGGAGCAATCATCGGGATTTCCCGCAGCTAGATTATTATTATCTGGCAAGGTATCAGATAATTAGTGGCCGCTAATAAGCAAATCACACTCTTATCCGAAAATTGGGTTTGCTAAAAAAAACGGCATAAAGTGCCAAAATGTTTTGCCATTAGATTAATTAAACGCCTGTCAACTGGATGCTAATATTTATTTGTCCAAACACCACGGATCGCAACAATGAATTAATTAACACATATCTTTGAAAACAATAGATTCCCCAACCTTGACATACTTGCTAGGAACTATTGATTTTAGATGGGATTATCAGACACCTATATCTTGTTATATTATTTAAAAAAAGTTTCACCTGCTTTAATGTTTCTTGAACAATTCAGCTAAGCTAGTCGTATACTTGATTTAATGATAGTAACAGCTCAAAAATACTCTTTTAAAAATTTGTTTCAGTGCATACTAAAAATTTATTTCTTTTTACCACTTACCACTTTAAATAGTAATATTACTAAAATATTTCTATACGATTTTAGCTACACCAAATATACAGTGCAACATGGTGATGAAAGCGCCTTCAAATACATGGTGGACCTGCAGACGAATGACTCTGAGTTGGACTTCTGGCTCCTGACGAGGAACTCCTCTGTTCTCACAGTGAGCCCCAAGCGGAAGAACCAGTTCGAGGCTCGTCTCTCCAGTTTGGGAGTCAGCTACGAGATGCAGCCACTCATGGAGCTGATGGCAGCCCTAAAGGCAAATAGTTCCTATGCCGAGGATGACTTCGATGGGGAGTACGAGGAGTGCCAGCAGGGGGATTGCGAGGAGGCAGAGCGCCCTCGTCGCAGGACTCGTCGCCAGGCTCGTGGGTTCTTCTCTCACTATCCTCGCTATCACGAGGTCCTCAGCTTCATGAGCGGACTGGCCGCCAGATATCCCCAGTACTGCCGATACGAGTCCCTGGGTCACTCCAACGAGGGTCGGCACATAGCTGCTCTCTCGATTTCCCTGAACAGCAGGGTCCGTCCACGTCGAGTGGCCTATATCCAGGCAGCCACCCACGGAAGGGAGTGGATCACCACGCAGACGGTCCTCTACTTGGCCTACGAACTGCTGAGCAACTTGCGCGCCTTCACAAGAGTTCTGCAGGATGTGGAGATTTTCCTGGTGCCACTCGTCAATCCCGATGGCTATGAATACACCCACACGACGGTAACAGATTAAAGATATTATTTTAAAATATATACAAATGCTAATAAGGTTTTTTTTAACATTTATAGTTATAACTAACTGACAAAAAACTAATCACAAGATCACCTAAGCTTATTACAGTAACATGTGACTGACTAAACAATTAATTTATTTTACATCATAAACGCAAAGCACAAGCTTTTAAAAAGTATTAAATAATACAATGATCTTTGAAAATCTTAATAGGCTTGGTAATTTATCTTAAGGAACACTTGTCTACATTATTAATATTTATAGAAGAGAGGGGAAAAGCACATAAATTATTTCAAAGGCAAGTGACATTTTAAAAGTGTTTACGCATCAAGGGGATTTATGTGAACATAAAATATTTTTAGAATTCTTGGCAGCTTATGTTCAAGTATATTTATATTTTTTTTATAAATGGTATTATATATATTTGAATCAATTTCAGGATCGTTTCTGGCGCAAGAACCGCCATCGCTATGGAGGTCACTCCTGCTCGGGTGTGGACATCAACCGGAACTTTGGAAACCATTGGAACTACCAGGGCGCCAGCCAGAACGTAAGCCACTTGTTGACCCCGACTTTGACCTTCGTGACTGAACCCTTGAATCCCTTCCATCCCAATCGACAGCTCTGCTCGGAGGTGTACTCGGGCACTTCGCCCAATTCGGAACCGGAGACCTCGGCCGTGGTGCGATATCTGGAATTCAATCGGCACCGTGTGAAACTCAGCCTGGATGTTCACTCATTTGGCAAATTCATTTTTTATCCCTACGGCTATGCGAAGTGAGTATGATGGTGGCTCTGGTGGCCAATCTCCCTGTTTTTCCTGCTCCGCGTCCGAAAATCCTCGGCTGTGGCTGAAGGCCCAGCCAGCGGGTGGCCCGGAAAGAAATTCAATTTACTTTTCAATTATTTGCTAAAAGCAATTAAGCCGGAATATTTCTGCCATTGCAGTCATTTAATTCTTTTTTGATTGCACTGTTCAAATGAGAGATTTTTTAAATCGTGTACAAATACATTAATATGTTTAAATTCCTTTCGAAAACGTAGATAGCTAGCTTATCACTTTCTCAACTAATTATAGTTTTTCGTAAATAGATTCTTTGAGTAATTGTTTTATACGGATAAAAGAAGATAACATTCATCGTTCATGGAACAACAAATCAATAAATTTGCATTTTGTAGCTTCAAAAATGTTATAAAATTAGTTTTTGTTTATAAGATAATAAATATTTTCTCTCTGTGCAGGAACACTGTACCACCGACCGTGGGAACGTTGCGTTCGGTGGCTCTGAGGGCCGCCAACCAAATCGGGCGGTACCGCGGTACCCGCTACACAACCGGAACCTCTGCCTCCATTTTGTACGAGGCCTCCGGCAGTTTGGATGACTTCGCCTATGGCAACCTGGGTATCCCCCTGTCCTACACGATAGAGCTGCCCGGTGACGAGTTCCACGTGCCCGCCCACGACATCATCCACGTCTGCAAGGAGACATTCGCCGGCTTCATCGAGTTCATCCGCCACGTGAGCCTCTACTAAGCGGGCTTTTATTCCCCAAACTGTTTAAGTAATTGAATTTATTTGTTTGTTAAAATTAAAATAATTAGTTCTCTCGTTGTTAGGCATTAAAGAAACGTATATTGAACAAGCTGCTGTATCTTTGTTTTGATGCTTAAAGAAAAAACACCTAATGGAAAACAGAACCCATTTATTTGACTCAAAAAATTCGATTTTAATTTTTTGATAAAGTATTCATTCTATTTCTTTCCAACGTCTAATGAAAAACAGAACCTGAATTTCCATAGGTTGTATTTTTTTGTCGATAAAGGCTATGTTTCCATACTTAAAAAAAAATGTTCATTTATAAGTGTTTGCTTAAAATAACAAGAGTTTGCGTTTTGATTCTTAATTCTCATATTTAATAATTTACTAAATTATTCATTACTAATATGTTGAAATATAACTAGGAACTAGTTTCTTTAAAACTTTTTCGCAATCCCTGGGAAACAGAAGGGGAACTACTTGTTATTCTATGTCATAAACGGAAGCATATAATCGATGTGGCTTTCTGATATCGTAAGCAGTCGGCAGCGTCTCCAATAAAGTGATAAAAAAGGTGATGCGATTAGCCCGGACACCTGTTTTAGTCCAGTCAATATCGGACTTTCGAACAATAATGACTTCTTTATTCTTGGGCTTGGTGACTTTACTGCTGCTGCAGACGAAGGTCCTGTTTGCTTGGCAGGATTACAAAGACTACAAGGTGTACGAATTGAATCTTCAAGGAATTGAACAAGAAGTTCTTATCCAAAAGTTATCAAGGGAAAAGCCACTCTGGGATTTTCTCACTCCTAAAGCAAATGAAAGTTCTTTAAGGGTGATGATACCACCTGAAGAATCTGATAATTTGATAACAACTTTAAAAATATATAATTTGGAATATCGATTGCTGATCGACGATTTGGCACCTTATGTAAAGGCCCAAAGAGCGGAGAATCTTAAGAGAAAAAAGCTGATTCAACTTCCCCACATCGATGTCCTGGCTGCTTTTTATACCCACTCGGAAATCAATGAATACCTGGATAGTTTACCTGAAAGGTTTCCCAAACGGGTTCAGGTGAAGCATTTTGGCTGGAGTTACGAGCGAAGGCCCCTTAAAGTCTTGACCATTTCCAACGGAGATGGAAAGCGGGACAAGCCAGTGATTTTAATCGATGGAACTGTTCATGCCAGGGAATGGATATCGCCATCCATGGCCCTCTATATAATCCAGCAGCTCTTGGATAACTACTCGGAAAACAAGGAGCTTCTGGAGGATTACGACTGGGTGATTATGCCAGTGGTGAATGCCGATGGATATGAGTACACTCATACTGATTCGCGTTACTGGCGAAAGACTCGACGTCCTACCAGTAATCCAGATTGTGTGGGCACAGATATCAACCGGAATTTTGCCCACGAATGGGGCCACGATGAGGGATCTTCGTCTGATCCGTGTGAGGATATATATCGAGGAGAACGACCCTTCGATCAGCCCGAGTCTCAGGTTCTGCGAGATGTGCTGCTCCACTACAAAGGAAGACTTAACTTTTATCTGTCTCTTCACTCCTATGGAAACTATTTACTTCTGCCTTGGGGATACACCAAGTAGGTTTATATATTCTTTTTTTTTCTAGTTTTACAAATTTTTTCTTTTGCAATACAAAAAGAAGTGGTATAATTGATAAGCAATTAATTTATGAAAGACAACTGTCATGGGCCACGTGTGACTTTATCTAGACAAAGAACAATCAGTTGACTGGGAAACCAGCACTTGAAAGCCCATAACTTTTCTTCTTGATGTCCGATTTTGGATTGGTATACCCCTAAATGCTTGTCCGCTAAGAGACTGCATAATTTTTATGATGTGACCCCTATCAAAAATCCGACAAATGGCTTTTCCGAAAAATGGCCTAAAACCAATACCTCAAATCCCATAACTTTTCTTATTGAAGTCCGATTTTGGATTGGTATACCTCAAAGTAATTTTAAAAATGGATCTGTAACCATTTATTCCATTCAATTGTAACCAATTTATTTCAGAGAATTTCCGGAACACTACCAGGACATGATGAATGTGGCGGATGCCGGCGCTAAGGCGATCGTTCACTCTACGAACGGGATATATAGCTATGGCAGCACCTACTACGTTCTATATCCGACATCGGGGGATACGACCGACTTTGCTTTGGGAGCGATCAACGCAACGGTGGCCATGACCATGGAGCTGCCGGCAGCGGGATTCATGGGATTCGATCCCTGGGTTTCCCACATCGAGCGACTGGTCACGGAAAGTTGGGTGGGAGTGCGGGCCATGGCCGTCGAGGTGATAACGCGTTATCCGGCCTGATCGGATTGTAAATAAAGAGACATTAGCGTCAAGTTGCGCCAACTCTGATTTGCGGGTTATTCGTCCGCGGGTGTTGGAGTGCTTTATTATTTATTGATCCAATTGGCGATTAGATATGTGTCCGGGTGACTTTGTCCGACTATTTAAGTGGCTGGACGCAGCCATGCGGTTGCTTAGTCTGTGCCAAGATGAAGTTCTCCCTGGGTTTCCTGCTGCTTTTTTTGGGCGCCACTCTGGTGGCCGCCGATCAGGATTATGAGGGGTAAGTATTGGGTTACTAAAAAATAAAGGGATAATTTTCAGAATCTACACATTGCACTAAAAAAAAAAAAAAAAAAATAATTGCTCTACAAATAGACTGTACAAAAAATTCAGTGTTTAAATAGCTTTGTAAATTTTATTGTAAACTCTGTAAAGTTTATTAGTAAGAAATGTTTTCTTTGAATGTATTACCCTTTATTTATCCAATTTATTTTATCCTGTTATCCTTTTAAATGCAATAAATAGTTAAATAATATTCAAAACATTTTATAATAAATAACTTTCAGTTACCGCATTTATGAGGTTACCCCTTCGAATGCTGATCAGGCTAAATTGCTGCACCAGCTGAGTGAGCAGGGATTCGATTTCATCAGCGAGAGTCGCCTGCTGGGACATCCTTCCCGTGTGATCGTGAGTCCAGATCAGTTGGAGCAGTTCCAGCAGCTGGTTCAGGGAGAGAGTATCGCCAACACTCTGGTGAATTCCAACCTGGGAGCTTCCATCGCCGAGGAGTTTGCCCAGCGGCAGATGCAGCGCCTTCTGGCTCCCATCACGGGAAAGGGTCGCCTGAGCACGGAGCGCTATTACACGCACGAGGAGATCATCAACTACATCGACGACCTGGCCCAGAGGTTCCCGAGTCGAGTTTACGTCAGGACTGTGGGCTGGTCCTATGAGCATCGTGTCCTGAAGACAATCACAATCACCAATGGCGATGGCAGGTCTGGCAAGAAGCTGATCTTCATGGACGGCGGCTTCCATGCCAGGGAATGGATTTCCCCTGCGGCCGTGCTCTACGTCATCGATCAGCTGGTGGAGCAGTTCGAGGAGAACGCCCATCTGCTGGAGGACTACGACTGGGTCATCCTGCCCTTGGTGAATGCCGACGGCTATGAGCACACCCAGACCGGAACCCTTGCCCGAATGTGGCGCAAAACCCGGCAGCCATACCAGTACGCCGGACAGACCTGCTACGGAGCGGATCCGAACAGGAACTTTGACTTCCACTGGAACGAGGAGGGTGCCTCCTCGAATCCCTGCTCGGACACCTATGCCGGTCCGACGGCCTTCTCCGAACCCGAAACCATTGTGGTCCGCGATCTGATGCACTCGCTCGCCGACAGGGGAGTTATGTACCTGACCCTCCACTCCTACGGAAACTATCTGCTGTATCCCTGGGGATGGACTTCGTAAGTCTTTCTTTAAAGCAATTGTTAGTTCCATTATCCAATCAATATCTCAAATGGTTGGTTTCAAGTCATGACATTTTTAATTAGAAATTTTGATAACAATGCAGTTTACAGTAATCCTCTTTCCATTCAATTTTGATACATATATTTAATTTGTGCCTTAGTGATCTGCCCGACAACTGGGAGGATCTGGATGCAGTAGCCCGCACCGGAGCCGAGGCCATCGAGAACGCCACTGGAACGGTGTACACCTATGGATCCTCCACCAACGTACTGTACATTGCTGCAGGAGCCAGTGATGACTACGGTTACTATGCCGGCTTCAATGTTTCCATCACCATGGAGCTGCCAGGAGCGGGCAGCATTGGATTCAATCCCCCGGTCACCCGCATCGATGAGTTCGTCACCGAAACCTGGATCGGAATCCGTGCCATGGCAGAAAAGCTGATCGAGATGTACTAAACTATTTAAAATTAGCTTCTAATAAATTGCTATCATTACTAGCATAATAGTCTTTCTATTTTTAAGAAAGAAGCCAATTGTTTTGAAAGTAGGCCCTTAAGCATTCACTTCAAATTACTAATCTTAAAGATTTGATGGTATAAAAATAATCCGCTGGGCTTAACAAAGAACATTTCAGTTCTTTAATAGGTGTTGATAAAAAAGTCAATTTTTAACAATTTAATTCTTTCTTTCCTAGTAAGCACTCGCATTGAATGATTATAAAAAAGTCATACAATCAAAATCATATTAAATTCACTTAGGTTTTAGGAATTTTTGAGAAAACGTAATTGGGAACGAAGCTGATAAAAGCTTGTTATTTTTATTGCCGGCAATCTCCGATCGATTTCTCATGACTTTACAACCATCCATATAGTTCGATTCGTTGATAACGCTCCGAGAATGTCGATTGAGAGAAGTTTCCTCAATAGCTTTGAATTCTTATAACTTAGATTGCTGGAAACCTGCGAAGATGACAGTTTGGTGGCTTCTGCTGGCTCTCAGCTTCTTGAGCTTCAGTAATGGGTTACATAAAACCAACAAATACGAAGGGTACGATAATAAGTGAAGTGAACTATTTGAAACCATTTTTAATAATCGAATTTTTCTAGCTACAAAATATATTCGGTGACAAGTAAAGCCCGTTCAGTAGTTTTGGCAAAAACGCTTACCGAATTGGCCAAGAAGGAGTCGTACTATGAGGTCTTTTCCGGATTCAAAGGTGGCAATGCCGCCAAGGTGATGGTGCATCCCAAGGAGCAGGTGAACTTCGTAAAGCTGATGGATAAACACAATGCGGACTATGATATTATCGATGGAGATGTGGGGTTAACTTTGAGCAGCGATTTCGAAACGAATCGCATGTTGCGTGAGCGGTTTCCCTACAACGGAAGATTGGGAACCGAAAGGTATTACACCCACGATGAAATCAACCAGTTTATCGAGGACTTGGCCAAGGAATACCCAAGTCGGGTCTTCCTAAAGACCGTGGGAAAAAGCTATGAAGGTCGGTCGCTAAAAACCATCACAATAACCAATGGAGATGCCCGGCGAAATAAGAATGTTTTCCTCGTTGATGGAGGCTTTCATGCTCGCGAGTGGATTTCCCCAGCAACTGCTGTTTACCTGATCAGCCAGCTGGTGGAGAATCTGGAGGAAAATGCCGATCTCCTGCAGGACTTCGATTGGGTCATCCTGCCGGTGGTCAATCCCGATGGCTACGAGTTCACCCAGACTTCGGCGGACAATCGCCTGTGGCGCAAGACCCGGAAACCCAGCAGCGCCGATTGCATCGGCACCGATCCCAATCGAAACTTTGACTTCCACTGGAACGAGGAGGGCGCCTCGCCGGATCCTTGTGCTCTAGACTACGCCGGACCGAAGGCCTTCTCAGAACCGGAAGCAGTGGTGATGGCGGATCTCATACATAGCTACGCGGATCGGGGAAAAATGTACCTCACTCTCCATTCTTATGGATCGCTTATCTTGTACCCTTGGGGCTGGACTACGTGAGTATCTGGAGGAATATCGGACTAAGTGAATACATAGTATTAACTATCTCTTTCAGAGATGTTCCTGATACTGTTGATGACTTGCACGAAGTGGCGGAGGCAGGCCAACAAGCTATTCTTGAGGACACGGGCACTGTGTACAGAATAGGACCCTCCACGGAAACCATTGGATATGCGGCTTCTGGGGCCAGTGATGACTATGCCTTCAACGCTGGCTTCCCCATTTCCTTCACGATGGAACTGCCCTTCGGCGGCACCGGATTCGATCCCCCAGCCTCGGATATCGATCATTTGGTCAAGGAAACTTGGGTTGGCATTGCGGCCATGGCCCGAAAAGTAAGAGAAAAGTATCCTCTTGTAAATCTACCATCTGGGGCCCGTCGCATAATCTTTTGATGGGCCCTATCAGTAAAAATTGTTAGTTTTGTCTAATTTTAATAAAACGTAAATGTATACAGTGTCGATCGTAATCCGTGCCATGGCAGAAAAGCTGATCGAGATGTACTGAACCGTTTACAATTAGCTTTTAATAAACAGTATAAATAATAGACCATTCACTTCAGATTAATAATTTTAAAGATTTCACGGTATAAAGATAATCCGCTGGGCTTAACAAAGAACACTTCCGATTTTTAATATATGCTATCAAATTTTAACAATTAAATTCTCATTTTTAAAAATGAAAACACAAAATAAGTAAGCACTGAATGGTTATAAAAAAGTCATACAATGAAAATCATTTTAAATTCACTTAAGTTTTTAGAATTTTTGAGAAAACGTAATTGGGAACGAAGCTGATAGAAGCTCGTTATTTTTATTGCCGGCAATCATATTCTCCGATCGATTTCTCTTGATTTTACCACCATCTATGGGTTGATAACATACCGAGAATGTAGATAGAGGGAAGTTTCCTCGTATTACTCAGATTGCTTGCAAAGATGATAGTTTCGTGGCTTTTGCTGGCTCTCAGCTTCTTGAGCTTCAGTAATGGATCACACAAAACCAACAAATACGAAGGGTACGATAAAAAGTGAAGTGAATTATTTTAAACCATTTTGAAAAATTGAATTTTTGTAGCTACAAAATATATTCGGTGACAAGTAGACTTCGTTCAGTAGGTTTGGCAAAAACGCTTTCCGAATTGGGCAAGAATGTGCCGTACTATGAGGTCTTTTCCGGATTCAAAGGTGGCAATTCCGCCAAGGTGATGGTGCATCCCGAGGAGCAGGTGAACTTCGAAAAGCTGATGGAGGAGAACAATGCGGATTATGATATTATAAGTCGGGATGTAGCCCTCACTTTGAGCAGCGAATACGAAGCGAATCGCATGTTGCGTGAGCGGATTCCCTACAACGGAAGATTGGGAACCGAAAGGTATTACACCCACGATGAAATTAACCAGTTTATCGCGGACTTGGCCAAGGAATACCCAAGTCGGGTCTTCCTAAAGACCGTGGGCAAAAGCTATGAAGGTCGGTCGCTAAAAACCATCACAATAACCAATGGAGATGCCCGGCGAAATAAGAATGTTTTCCTCGTTGATGGCGGCTTTCATGCTCGCGAGTGGATTTCCCCGGCAGCTGCTGTTTACCTGATCAGCGAGCTGGTGGAGAATCTGGAGGAAAATGCCGATCTCCTGCAGGACTTCGATTGGGTGATCCTGCCGGTGGTCAATCCCGATGGCTACGAGTTCACCCAGACTTCGGCGGACAATCGCCTGTGGCGCAAGACCCGGAAACCCAGCAGCGCCAATTGCATCGGCACCGATCCCAATCGAAACTTTGACTTCCACTGGAACGAGGAGGGCGCTTCGCAGGATCCTTGTGCTCAAATCTACGCCGGACCGAAGCCCTTCTCGGAACCGGAAGCAGTGGTGGTGGGGAATCTCATACATACCTACGCTGATCGGGGAAAAATGTACCTCACTCTCCATTCTTATGGATCGCTTATCTTGTACCCTTGGGGCTGGACTACGTGAGTATCTGGAGGAATATCGGAATAAGTGAATACATAGTGTTAACTATCTCTTTCAGAGAAGTTCCTGAGACTGTTGACGATTTGCAAGAGGTGGCGGAGGCAGGCCAACAAGCTATTATAGGGGACACGGGCACTGTGTACTTAGTAGGATCCTGTACGGAAACCATTGGATATGCGGCTTCTGGGGCTAGTGATGATTATGCCTACAACGCTGGCTTCCCCATTTCCTTCACCATGGAACTGCCCTTCGGCGGCAGCGGATTCGATCCCCCAGCCTCGGATATCGATCATTTGGTCAAGGAAGCTTGGGTTGGCATTGCGGCCATGGCCCGAAAAGTAATTGAAAAGTATCCTCTTGTAAATATACCATCTGGGGCCCGTGGCATATTCTTTTGATGGAATATCAGTAAAAATTGTCAGTTTAGTCTAATTTTAATAAACCGTAAATGTATACTGTGTCGAATAACTATATCCGGATATCCGATACTGTATACATTTACACAGGGCCGGAGAAACAGTTTTGAGTGGGGTGATGACCTCACAAATTTTCAATATCCCCCCCCGCCCCTTTTGTTTCAAAATCATTCCAAATCATGATGAGGGAAACACTGTTGACATAATATAGGTAAGTATAAATTTTAATAAAACAACAACACCAATCAATCAAAATGCAACAGGTAAAAAAAACTATTTTAAATGTAAAATGTTAATTAAAATCCATTTAATATTAATGTAATGTTAATTTAATGTTAAAATAATGTTAATTTAATATAATGTAAATGTAATGTTAACTAAATGTTAATTAAATTAATATGGCCACGTCAGCGACAATGATAATTAATTATTTTTTTCGTTTTCTCGCACCTATAATTCCCAAGTGGTTCTGGCTGATTCGTAGTGGGATACCCCTTGATTTTGGCCAATTTCTCAGTTCTCCGGGATGACCGGCAGTTTCTCTAAGAAACTTTTTCCGGTCTCTGGAAGTGTGTGTGTGTGCGTGTGTGTTAGTGACGTGGTTCCAGAGTGGGAGAGAGTATCTGGCCAACTCCTCCTACTGGAGTCCACTCCCGGATGCAGTGCATCATGGGTCGATTCCTCCTACTGGAGTCCACTCCCGGATGCAGTGCACCATGGGTCGACTCCTCCTACTGGAATCCACTCCCGGATGCAGTGCATCTTGGGTCGACTCCACTTACTGGTGTCCACTCCCGGATGCAGTGCACCATGGGTTGACTCCTCCTAGGATGCACTGCATCATGACCTGACTTGGCATGAACTTAAAGGTGCCCGATCCCTTCCTGCATGTAGTGGACTCCAGGATGCAGGGCATCCAAACCTGAAAAGGTGAGTTGCAGTTTTTTTTAATTATGTGATGACGTGGCTTTTGTAAAAAAAATGCAGTTAATTAATTCAATTTTTTTATATTTTTTTTCAGGTTTTTGGTTGTGTATTTGGCTGATTGCAGAAAATAATTGGTGACACCATCCAACTTGTAACTTGAAGTTCGACATCAGGATGCACTGCACCAAAGTTATTACGCAGTGAGTACATCCTTTAGACAATAAATAATTAAGTTATATATTTTAAGAAATCATAAATATTTTGACAAAGAAACTAAATGAAACAGATAAAGATCTGAAAGTTTTCAAGAACATGAAAGAAATTTGAAAGGTAAATTTTATCAAATATTGAACTTGAAGTACATGAAAATCAAACACAATTAATAATTGTAAACAAGTAGCGACATATAATATAAATATATGTAGTATATATATAGTAATAGTTGTAAGAATGCGGTTACCGGAAATATATAGTATGCTGACACCACATAAATGGACTGGACAACAGGCAGGATCAATTATGAATGGCGTGATCTTCTATTGAACTCCACTCCAGGATGCAGTGCATCACCTCATTGGGGTATGTATTTTTTAAACAACCGATTTGTATAAAATAATTTAACTAATATTTTGGAATGCTTCTTTTCATTACAGTGATGACTATTCCGTTCTGTAAACTTCAAGATGCAGTGAATAAAAAACCCAAAGAGGTAAATATCTTTTTTACTAACAAAATAATTCTAACTATTATTATTTGTAACAAATTATTTATTATTTTTTTTTCTTATTTAATTTCAGGGTAAAGTGTTAAGTGTTAATGTTGCAAATAAAGTGGTTGCGGTGATTATCTTACTTCAAGAAGACGAAAGATTGCAGTGCAGATCAAGGAGCTAACTGAGTAAGTACCAATCTGAAAAGATTTATTTATGATAATCTCATAATTATTTAAGTAGTTTTTACATTAAGTTGGAAAATGCTTAACTTGGGAAGTATTTGGGAGAGTTACTATCTATCTATTTAAATAGAAACTGATTTAATTGGGCCGTGGTAAAGGCGGGATTTCTCTTCGTTTTTCTTCGATATACTCTATATGCAGGGCCGGAGAAACAGTTTTGAATCATACATTCAACTGATAATAATGGATGTAAATAAATTTTTTTCTACAAGTCAAGCATTTTGGGGTGTTGAATTCCACACCCGCTAAGATTTGGCGTGTGGAGTGCTCAACACCCGGTATACACCTTCCGCCGGCCCTGCATTTACATAGATTTACATTCACCAGTCTATATATTATATGTACCAATGCTGGGACAGCAAACAGAATAGCCAAGTTCCTTAATCTTTCTTGTCCAATAGAGTTTCTTAAACACGTTTTTATCAATTTACTTCAGGAAAGCTGCAGGCATAAAATGATTCTTTATAATTTATAAATCAGCAAGGTCTCTAATACACGAAGATTTTACTTTTTCGTCTCTGAAAGTGAACCGAAAGTTAAGAATTTCTCTAGCAAATGATTCAGATATGTCTTCTTAGCGATTTCGAGTTTGTAGAATTTTGCAAAGGAAAACTAATAATATGATAAAGTTATAGAGGCTCTTGTCTAGTTGTGACGAATTCAATTTGGTTTTATGATTTATGTTTTACTATTTCTTCAGTAATATTGCTGAATACATAGCTCTCAATTTAAATATAAAAGTGTCTAAGAGTGATTGTCTATTTCTAAGTAACCGTGATAATCTAGACCGCCACTTGAAATCCTCGGCACTCGATGAACTTAATTAGCAGACCGCGATAATAAATCCCGAGTCGAGTCGAGTGGCCCGCCCAATTAGCCCAGTGTGTCAATGCCACTGCTCGAGTGATGATATGGAAACCCGATGGGACACCCGCCTATCTGGCGAAGCGTGAAAGTTCCCGCAACGGGAGTGGAATTCCAAATTAGTAAGAAGACAGCGAGATTGGTAAATATCATCGTTGGCTTTTATTGCACTCGCACTCATTTAGAACTTCTCCGCCACCTTCTTGGCCATGGCTTGGATGCCCAGCCAGGTCTCGGCCACGAAGGACTGGATCTGGGAGGTGCTCGGGTTGAAGCCAGTGCCGCCGGCGGGCAGCTCCATGGTGATCGACACCGGGAAGTTGGCCACTCCGAAGGCGTAGTCATCGCTGCCACCTGCCGCCGCGTACAGAACGTTGGTGGAGCTGCCCACGGTGTACTTGGTTCCAGTGGCACTCCTGATGGCTTCCGCTCCAGCCTGGGCCACCTCGTCGTTGTCGCGCCAGTTGCTGGGAAGAGCCCTGCGGAAATATTAAATTGGATAAGTAAAGCAATCATTGTATACAAGACAGGGGATCACTTTAGTATTCACAATAAATGAGGTGTCTTTAAAAAGTCGTTAGAAATTATTAAAAAAAAAAAAAATAATAAAAAATGTAAAATGAATAAATAAGAGTAAAATATAAATTTGGAATGTAGAAAGGCTTGAGTGCGATATTAATAAATTGTTAAGCCAGAAAATATTTCGTTTTCTGTTGGTTAGAATTTAGAAAGCATTAAATCAAGTAGATCACAAGATCCTGCACATCCAGTTGATTCATTGACTTAAGAATTTATTAATATAGGAACTTAATGTGCCTTTTCAATCGTAAAACGGGAGTACTCACGAGGTCCATCCCCAAGGATAGAGCAGGTAGTTGCCGTAGGAGTGGAGGGTCAGGTAGAACTTGCCGCGGCCGCTCAGGCCGAGCAGGAGGTCGCGGAGGATCTGGGTCTCCGGCTCGGAGAAGGCGGTCTCGCCCTTGAAGGTGTCGGAGCAGGAGTAGCTGGAGGCGCCCACCTCGCCCCAGTGGAAGTCGAAGTTGCGGTTGGCATCGGTTCCATAGCAGGCGCTGCTGATGGGCTTCCTCGTCTTGCGCCACATGCGGGTGGAGGTGTGGGTGTACTCGTAGCCGTCGGGATTCACCACCGGCAGGATGATCCAGTCGAAGTTCTTCAGCAGATCGGAGTTGGCGGCGAAGTTCTCCACCAGCTGGTGGATCACGTACAGGGCTCCAGCGTGGGCGATCCACTCGCGGGCGTGGATTCCGGCGTCCAGGAAGATCACGTTCTTGCCGGTCTTGCCATCGCCATTGGTGATCGTGATGGTCTTGATGTCCCGGTTCTCGTACGACTTGCCGGCCACCTCGACGGTCACCCGGCTGGGATAAGCGGCAGCCAGTTCATCCAAGTAGGCATTGATCTCCGCGTGGCGATGGAAGGCGGTGAAGCTGATGCTCCGTCCGGCGGATCGCAGGTTCATCAGCCGCTGGTTCTGGTTCTCCTCGCGCTCCTGACGCAGCGACACTCCCAAGTCCTCGCTGACCACCGAGAAGTCCAGGCTGTACTTCTCCAGCAGGTGCTCGAATCCCTCCTGGTCCGCGGGCTTCACCATCACGCGACTCGGCGCCTCCAGGGAGCGCGGCAGGTCGAAGAAGTCGTAGTCCTCGTTGGCCGACAGGCGCAGCAGGATCTGCTTCTCGAAGGCATTGCTCGCCTTAACGTCGTAGATCTTGTAGCTAAATATATTTAAATACAAATTATAAAAAATTAATATTAGTTTGTGTATACAACTGATTCACTAAGCTGATTATTAATTTGAACTTAGTTTCAAAATTTATAATGCAGATACATATTACTTTTTTCAATAAAATGTCGATCTTTTGATCATCTTTTATTTATTTCTTTTGATCTTTCATTATCTTTTGAAATTGAATGGTTCACTTTTTCAGTTAATTGCTTTCTTTTTTTTTAGTTATTTTTAGGCGAACAGCTTAAATTTTTTTTTAACAAACTTCAATATTTGATAGAAATTTTGTGGTACATATTTTGATAATATATGGATTATACCATTTACTAACTGAGTCAATGAAATGCTTCCAGATAATTATAAAAAACTTTTAGCTTCTTAGCTCCCTAAATAGAAGTCGATAACGTATTTTCTTAAACTATTTGATTCACCGGAAAATAGCGGGGGTGTGCAAACTACCCAAAGCACTGCTAATTGGGCGTGGCAAACCCAACCTCCTCCGGGCTGCGATCACTCACCCGTCGTAGTTGTCGGTAGCCAAGGCCACGCCGCTGAGCAGCAGCACCACAGCGAATAGTTTCAGCATTTTTACACTCAGCTCCGTTCCGTTTGGGCCCAAAGCGTCTAATGAGGCCCAAACCGTTGGGTTCTGGCTTATATACCACAGCCGTCTACTCACCGATCGCTCACCTCGTCCTCTTATCGGAGGAGAACTCGATCGGAACGGAGTAGCTATCGCCACTATCAGTGGACAGATGAGGGGCGATGTTTGGTTTGATTTGATTTGATTTGTTTTTGTTGTTGTGTCTCCGCCAGGCGATGCGGCAATTATAGAGAAAATCTCTTCAAATTTACAGCCTTTGACAAGAGGGTGACAGGCAGGTTCGTAGTAAAAGTTTTTTTTACTCGGCCAAGTTAGGAACTTGCTTTTTTTCCATTGTCTTGTGACGTTAATGGTTTGCAAGCCCTATGAATGAGTGGAAAATATGCATTTGTTTTGTAGTGAACAGTAGTTAAAATTTTATTAGAAACTAAATTACTTAGAAATAAAACGAAGCAAAGAACTCAAAAAAAGTTAAAGTCTTATGACTGTTCATTCATTCATTTAATTTAAACTTTATTCCTCTCAATTAAACGATTTTTAAGTATAAGATATCGAGTATAAGATTTCAAAAAAGTATTAATAGATTTTAGGTAAGTCGAAGCTTTAAGAATTTTTCGGTAATTTTTATCGTATCTTTTTATGTTTTTTAATTATTTTTGTTAAGTGGGTTTTTCCAGTTTTACGGAAATAGTAGTTGCTAAAATTGGAATATGTTTACTTAAAAAGTTATCATTAAAGGAGCAACTTAGCTAATTGCAGCCAGTCTTAAATCAAATTCATATTTGTCATCGTCCCCGCATGTCTGTTATTTTTGGCTTTGGAGCAACTCGTAAATTTGGTCTTCTGACTTTACGCAATCAACATTTGATTTATATGGTTCTTTTGGCCTTAGACTCCGTCAATTCTTGGAGTGCGCCAGTCACGGGCTCTATCTCTATATTTTTTTGGTATTTGAATTTGTTTGCAAAACGTGGCTTTATCAGTTTGTTCTGTGCACTGCGCCAAGAAAAAAGTTTTCAGCTTAAAACAATGAAAATCTATATACAGTCTGCAAAAAAAAAATAGAGAAACTAGCAAACAACCTGCACGCAAAAATAGAGAAAAAATCAAAAACAGACGAACTAAAACTCGGCTGCCGCGCACACAAAATATATTTGAAAATTTATTGCATTTCATGAGTTTTTCCATATTTGTCTGCATTTGTAGGCAGAGTTTTGGTCACAAAACTTTCGGCGGCTGCAAAAACAAAAAACAAGGAAGTTGCTTACTTAAAACTGACAATGAGCGCATGGAAATGACAAAAAACACTGCGGAAACTGTTGGCTCGTAATTTTGAATGGCCCATTGGAAGCGACAGGACCTCGCCATCCTTACGCGGCCAAAACCTCCGCCTCTTTAGCCACGATTTGGAAAAGTTGGCATATTCCCTCGGGATGGTAAGGTATCTGTGACTAATACTATTTGAGTGTAGTTTAAAAATGAATTAGTTGCAATTAGAATCTAAGAGAAAGTGTTTTAAAAGTTACTCAACGCTCAATTAATTGGTTGTGAGCAAGCAAATAAATTAAACTTGGTTTAAACTCATTGTAATCTTAGTCTTTGGGAGAAAAAATTCATTTGATGTTCAATAGTTGACTTAAAAATTCTTTTAAAATAAATAGTTAACTTACGTGTAAAACATTGGTAGTTTAAAAATATATTAACTATTAACTCATCATTATCTGATGAAGTGCATTAAGTACTCGGCCTGTTGGTGCCCGTATTGTATTTTTTGTGGACTGAATGTGACTGCCCGTAAAAATTCTTTGTGCGAGTGAGTGTGTGATTGCCGGGCTGTATTTGTTTTCCTTTATGTTTACTTTTTTGGGTTTTGAAAAAACTTTAGCTGAAGTCTTCCAGCTGGCTTTATTTTCCTGGACAAAGCAGCATTGTGTGTAACGCAGCCCATTTAAAGGGAAATTATCCCAAATTATTTGCTATATTCTACAGGGATTGATGACAATCCCATGCTTAAAGCGCATTAATTGAAATTGATGGTTGAGTTTGGTAGAATTTCGAGTAGATTGCTTGTAAGTAGTTTTGGGAATTCATTAGTCTGTCATTTGCATTAAAAAGTTTTACGCAGCGGATCTTTAATTTTCATTTTGCATAAATTACGATGACTAAGTCTGGCATGAACTTGCGGCTTTTATTGCTCTATCGGGAAGGGGCGACTTTCGTGGGGTGTTGAACAGCGTTGAGTGTCAAAAACTTGGCCACAAAGGGTGAATGGAGAAAGTGTGAATGGGGAAAGGGTGAAAGAGTATGGGCCGGAGGTGGATTTTAATTAAAATTCATCTTCACATTTAATCAAATCATGGCAACCCCTTTGGCTGGCTGCCTCCGTCTGCCACTGACATCGACACTGGCTTCTAATTAAGTGCGAAAAATCGTTAAATGTAAAATCAAATCGTGCAAAAAGTAATTGGTAGAAGAACTTCCACTTGGAGGGTGGAAGATTAAGCGGAGTAAATTGTTGGCATTGTTTTGCGTTTGGATTAAGGCCACATCCAGGGGTTGGGGTTAATTGGGTGGCAGGTGTCAAATATTTACAGTCCATTATGTACTCGTTGCCAGCCGGCGTTGTGTTGGCCAATTTTCTTAATTGCCAGCCGGAAATCCACGTTGAATACAATTTCCACTTAAATTTAGAACTCGAACTGGCCCCGCAGCTTCGCTTTGTTCGAGTGTATTTGCGGGCTTAATCACTCGTATAAAAGACCGATTCGACTTTCGATTGTCAGTTACTTGTCTTTCTGATCTGCCTCAAGATGAAACGACTTTTGGTTGTGCTCTGCCTGATCTTTTTGCTGCCGTTTTTGCTGGCCGAAAATCCACCAGTCAATTTTCCGGCTGTGAATCGAGGAAAAGCGCCTAGAACGGTGCCACAAAATCCTGCAAGAGTGGGTTCACGCACCCTGGATAGTCTTAACGGTCTGGGATAAGTTAAGGAACTTACAGATTTACATTAAAAGTATTATGCAAACTGCTTAACTAAACTAAACTCCCGAATTATTGTAATTAAGTAAACAACATGGTTTTATTTTAATTGATTTCATAAAATGGATTTTTAAATAAACAAGACAATATTTACTTAAAAAGATTTTGCGTAAAATGTTCTACTGAGACCTCAACTGAATCCCACTTCGAGGACTTTGTTTTGCATATGACATAGATTGCAGCTCCTGTCACTTCACACACTTCTATGAATATTTCAAGGGGCTACGGAACTCATGCATATTTATAATGTCAGCTGCAACCTGTCCTACGACAACAGGAAAGAAGGTGGGGTATAAATAACTCCCTTCAAACTGAACAAATCGGACCGGATCGAACTGCATCGTTCATTGACAGTTGCGGCCATAATAAATGCCTCGTGTTTTGTTTCTGCCTTTTCTTAGCCGGTTTACCGCAAATTGACTTTATCAACTTCCCGGAGAGCCAGATTCTCCGGCTCGTTGGCAGAACTCAATTAGCTCTCTTGAGCTCATTTGAAGGGGCCAATTTTATTTGCCAAATGTTGCTTTAATTAAGCTAAAGCATTCAGGTAAACCGAATAAAAGCAGAATCCGTAAAATCATTACAAAACTGGTAAGAATGTTTAAAGGTCTCGCGACTAAAAGATACCCACTTTAAAATTTGTTAAAATATTTTCTATTTTAAGTTATTAGATTTCCTTTTGTAGAAACCAGGAATAAGCGGAAATAAATATATTGATTTGTAGTAGTCTTTATTTTAATTCTGTAGTATTCTTTATTTTAATTCTTTACTTTTTAGCTTTTACACATGTGTTCTCTTCTTCGTCAATCTCAAAAATAGTTATACCAAGGATGGTATCTTATCGATAACTTATTCCATCACAATCATATGGTAACTCTTAATAAGTACTACCCACCCGTTACATCTGGTAACTCTTAATACTACCAGCCTGCTACAACTCGGCCATCCTGATTTTGAGATAGCCCTCTATCTCCTGTTAACATTATCTCGTACATCAATAGATGAATTTGTTTTTCTTAACCAATGTCTAATATTTTGCGCACTCCACACGCCTTGGTAAGGATTTCGAGCTAACTGAAAGCCATCAATGTCTTTGATCAAATACCTATCGTTTTTTAATATCTTATCAATAACATAAGGACCTTTACTTTTTGGTAACAGTTTTCTTGCTACTCCTACCGAGCTATCAAAATTTTTTACCATAATATAGTCTCCTGTTTTGAATTTATTCGGATCTTTTCTTTTGCTATTATAATATTCCTCATTTTTTGACTGTGCTAATACCTGATTTTGTTCTGCTTCCTTTCTAATCTTTTCCAAATCTCTTTCACAATTTACATCTACACAATTTTCCTCTTCTAGCTTTTGTTTTAGGTCATCACTTATTTCCCCTTTTTGTTGTAACCCAAACAACATTGTACTTGGATATTGTTTTGTACTTCGGTTTATTGTATTATTCAATGTGTATTCAATTTGTTCGATAACCTTATCCCAATGCTGCCCCTCTTTCGCCTCAGTAAGTTTGCTTAACATAGGACCTAAGCTTCTGTTAACCCGCTCCACCTGTCCATTAGCTTAAGGCGATCCCGTGGCCACTTTAATGTGCTTTATATTTGCGTCACTTAAAAACTTTTCAAATTCCCCTGAAGTAAAACCACTACCTCTATCTGACACTATGCAACTCGGTTTGCTATATGATCGAAAATAGTCTTTTAATGCACTAACAACTTCTTTACTATTTGTTGTTTTTGTCGCATATAATCGTAAAAATTTCGTACACCCATCTACCACAGCTAATATGTATTTCTTTGATCTACTCTTATCCACTGGTCCATAATGGTCAATATGAATAATATCAAATGGTTTATTACCTTTGGGTATGCTATGTAATACCCCACAGTCCTTGCCTGCATTGGATGAAAACGCAATACACTTTAAACAATTTTCTATATGTCCTAATGATTTGACTTTCATGTTCGGAAACCAATATGTCTTCATCATTGCACTAATCATTTTATCCCTACCAATATGTCCTAATTCATCATGATACTTATACATAACATGATCCTCCATAGCTGCTGGTACATAAAATAATATCCTGCCATCATTCGTTTTCCTATATACTACCCCATTTCTCATTTCAAACAATTTCAGCTCACCTTTTTCTAACAATTTTCTAATATTTTGTATTTTCATATCCTTCGTCTGACAAATTACTAAATTTGTTTCTAAACTATTTGCTTCTGTTATCATAATTGTATTATAACATCTCGACAAAGCATCGACGTGCTGCATCCTGCTTCCAACTCTATGAACTATTTCATAATCAAATTCTTGTAACTCTAACGCCCACCTTGCTATCCTTGGATTTAAATCAATTTTATTTAAAGTCAAAGCTAATGAGTTACAATCAGTAATAATTTTAAAACGCTTTCCCTGTAAATATATTCTGAATCTTCTTAAAGCATAGATTATCGCTAAAGTTTCTAACTCAAAGCTATGGTACTTTGCTTCTGTTTCTGATGTGCGCTTCGAAAAATAAAAAATAGGATGAAATTTTTCATCTGCCTTTTTCTGAAAAAGTACCGCTCCAAACCCCAAGGCACTGGCATCACAATGCAATTCAATGTCATCTCTATGATCATAAATTGACAAAACTGGCGCTTGTAACAATTTTTCTTTTAAACATAAAAAACAATTAAGCTCCTTTTCACCAAAATTAAATTTTCTATCCTTTCTAAGTAAATCATACAGAGGTTTTGCAATAATAGAAAAATCTTTAATAAACCTTCTAAAATAAGAACATAATCCTAGAAAACTCTGCACTGATTGAACTTTATCAGGCATAGGAAAATTCTTAATAGCTTCTAAACCCTTATCATCAGCTCGAATACAACCTTTAGATATATGAAACCCCAAATATTTAACACAATCCTGCATAAACTCACATTTATCTAACCTTAATTCTAGTTTATTTTCTGCCAATCGAATCAAAACTTTCTCTAAAATTGCAAAATGTTCATCTATATCTTTGCTTGCGACCATTATATCATCCATATAAACTATAACCTCATTCTCTCTAATCATGTCCGCAAATACAGTATTAACAAATCTTTGAAATACTTGAGGGGCAGTTTTAAGCCCCATCGGCATTTTTAGAAATTCGTATTGACCCAATGGCGTCACAAACGAAGTGTATTTAACCGAGTCCTTATCCACAAATACGTGAAAGTACCCATTTTTTAAATCAAGTTTCGTAAATATATTTTTTCCTACAAGTTTATCTAACAAATCGTCTATTAAAGGCAACGGATAATTATCTCTAACCATAATTTTATTAAGCCGTCTAAAATCGACACACATTCTAAGATCCCCCGTTTTTTTCTTTACTAAAACAATTGCTGAGGCATATTCTGAACTACTGGGTTGTATAATACCCTCTTTTAGGTATTCATCTAACATAAGTTGTAGTTTTTCTTTTTCCGCATATGATAGTCTTCTAGGTGAACAACTAAATGGTTTTTCTTTTTCTAAAATAATTTTCATCTCGCCCCTAATGTTGGGATTTGCTTGCTTCTTTGCATTTATATAAGTGCTTTCTAACATTTTTATAAATTTTGCTCTTAATGCATAATCCACTTGTGTCCCAATCTTATATTCTCTTTCAGAATCCACTACATTAATTTGCATCATGCTACTTTGAAAATTTTCTTCTAACACTCCTCTTACTAATTCTTTTGACTTCTCATCTAACAATTTACTAGCTAACAATCTATTATCTAACAATTTACTGTCTAACAATTTATTATCTAACAATCTATCATCTAACAATCTATTATCTAACAATTTACTGTCTAACAATTTATTATCTAACAATTTCCTGTCTAACAAACAATTTTCTGCTAACGATTTATCAACCAATTTGTTTTCTACATTTTCACAATCCATATTCATTTCACTATTTTCTAACAATTGATCTGCTGCTTCCACTAACTCCACTTCATTTATTCCTTCCTGCTCCAAGTTTGGCCTTATGTTGTCTTTACCATCTAATAGACTTTCAGTACACTCATTACCATTCACATCAAGTTCACTTAAAGATAATTTTATACCATAAAGTTCCATAAAATCTCTACCTAAAACAATATTCCATCTCATAGACTCGTTAGGCACCACTTTTAAATCAAAATTAATTTTATTACTGTTCTTGAAAATGTGACAAAATATTTTTCCGAATACATTTAATTGGCTTTCATTTAATCCAAAATATAACACTTCATGTGTGTGTAATTTAATATTTGTTGGAATACATTTTTGTTTAATAAACGAAACAGGGCTGCCCGAGTCCATGAGGCATTCTGAAATTATAGATTCGTTATTACTATTACTAAAATAAATTACTAATGACCTTACAAAATTGTTTACGCCGCTGTCCTCCGTCTTCACCTTCCTCTTCGGGCACTGCGCCATTAAATGCCCTTCGTCACCACATCCGTAGCAAGATCCCGGCTTCCTCTTTGGCTTACTGCAATCTCGTGCCCAATGTCCCTTGGAGTTGCAATTGAAGCAACGAGAATTTTCTTTTATATCTCTGCCCTTCGCTGCTTCCGACTTCATCAGCAAACCACTCTGCCTAGGTAAGGCAACATCTGCAAATGCTCGCCGCATCTTCGCCGGATTATCAAAGCACTGTAATTTTGCCTGGATGCGTAGATTTTCATGTGGTATTCCCTCGATAATGCCATCTAATAACTCATCGTCGTCCATATCCAAATCTCGAGCCAACATGCACTTGTCCTCAAAGTAGACGCTGAAATTTTCGTCCGATATCCACATTCGTCCAGCAAATTTCCGACGTAGCTCAATTTTCGGAAGTTTTCCACCAAACGCCTCCTTCAGTTGATCCAAAACTTGGTTTATAGGCTTCACCACACGTACCGGATCTGCATGCAGCCACTGCATCGCTTTTCCTTTTAGCTTTGCAATACATAATAATTGTCGCTGCATGTCGTTCAACTTGTGCAATTGTGTAATATTGTCAAACTGAGCAATCCAATTTCGCACTGG